ATGGATCCCTTTCTAACACCAACATCAAGCAGCACAGGATCCACCGGCAATATAAAGTCCAGACTTTGGATCAGGCCCGCCAGCTACTGGAGCATACGAAAATGCAGCTAGAAGCAACAGCCGCACGGATCCGGCGCTATAAGCTAGAGGCAACACGCAGGTCGGAGAATCGTGTTTTCGTCACGAATGAGCGTCAGTTCTACCGCAATATGACCAAGTCTACGGAAATGCCTGGGCAGCCACCTGTCGACCAGGCTGCTGCGCATCCATCGGCTGAGGCTGTTACTGAGTTCTGGTCATCTATACTGGAAGAACCCGTGGAGCTGCGTGGCGGTGCTTGGCTTGATAATTTGGAGAGGGACTGTGAGGAGATTCAACAACAAGACTGTGTCATTCTTCAACTGGAGGACCTCAGGGACATCTTGAAGAAATCAAACAACTGGAAAGCCCCAGGACGGGACAAGATCCATGCATTTTGGTGGAAGAAGTTTTCGTCTATCCACGAGCGTATTGTGGTCTCCTTTCAATCAATCCTGGATGCAGAGACAGAGTCGCCGGCCTGGTTCTCGTTTGGTATCACCACTCTACTGCCTAAGAAAGGAGACCTTTCTAGGCCCGAGAATTATCGCCCAATAACATGCCTGCCAACGATTAGCAAGATATTCACATCCTTACTCGCTGCTGCCATGTGGCGCCATTTATCTTCAGAGGATATCTTTGCAGATGAGCAAGTTGGCTGTACTCCAGGGCGTGGTGGATGCCTTGACCAACTAATGATCGACAAGATGGTTCTAGAGGATGCAGCATCCCGTAGTCGGAATCTTTCGACGTGCTGGGTGGACTTCCGCAAAGCCTTCGATAGCCTGTCTCACCAGTGGATCCGGAGATGCCTGTTGATCTACCGCTTTGCAGACAATCTTGTCTCATGCATCTCAAGCATGATGGATCATTGGAAAACGCAAATGGTACTGCCTGGTCAAACACCCCGTGCATTCAGTCGCCCAATATCTATCCACCGTGGCATTTTCCAGGGCGATTCCCTTTCTCCACTGCTATTTTGCCTGTCTCTAAATCCGATCAGTGGCGAGGTGACCAGGACGGGTCTTGGCTACCGCTGTGGCCCACCGGCCCAGGTGTGCCCTGTATCGCACCTGTGGTACATGGACGACATGAAGCTCTTCGCCCGAAACGACAATAATCTGCTCTCCATGACCAATGTTGTGGAGTCAATGGGCGACTGCATTGGTATGCGATTCCACCCATCAAAGTCTAGCTGGCTCACCATGAAATGGGGAAGAGCCCAGAGCGATCAGCAGTCTGCTCTCCAGACACTCCAGGGTCACGCTATTGCTAAGCTGCAGGCGGAGGAGTCCTACAGGTACCTTGGTGTCCCGGAATCAGCACATTTTCACGCCACCGAATTGAAGACCACAGCAAAGGCTGAGTTCGGCCGCCGCCTTCAATTGATATGCTCGTCTCAATTGAACGCCAGGAACTTGGTCAAAGCCATCAACACCTTTGCCATTCCAGTCATCCTCTACTCTCTGTGCATCGTTGAGTGGACAAAGGCAGAGATAGAGGAACTCGACCGACAGACCCGCCAAGCACTGTTTAAAGCACACGCCCGCCACCCCAAGGACTCTGCCGCCAGGGTCCACCTGCCTCGTGACATGGGTGGTCGAGGAATTCTATCATTCCGGGATCTCCTGGATAGAACCCGTGTCCGGGTGGCGCGGTACCTACAAGCCCACCCAAACGTGCCACTGTTGGCTGCTGTTAAGCGCCATCACGACAATGATGTGGCACCGTCAAAATCAGTTACACGTCAAGCCTCCAGACTTCTGGGTGAACTTGACCTACCCGACTTGGAGACTGCCACAAAAGTAATTGTCAAGAAGGCCGTTGCTCTCCGGTGCCTGGCCGTTATCCAAGGTAAGCCTCTCCATGGCCAGTTCTGGAGACGAGCTTCTGATGCTGGCTTGGACCTGGGCTTGAGCTTTCGCTGGCTGAAATCGCCAACGATCAGGCCTGCGACAGAGGGACTCTTGCTGGCTGTACAGGATCAGGCCATTGCGACCAGGCACTATCAGGTCACGGTCATTGGACGGGGAGACGTTGTGGACATTTGTCGAGTTTGCGGCACTCGCGGAGAAACAGTTGATCACATTGTGGCCTGTTGCCCAGCTCTAGCCAAAACACTGTATATCGAACGGCATGACACGCTCGTCAAGTTGGTGCATTGGGCACTATGCAAGCGGCATGGTCTGGGTCAGCCGGGAAGCAACCCGCTGAAGCATCATCTTGTGCCTGTCACGGAAAATCCTGACATGAAGCTCCTGTGGGAGTTCAATATCCCAACGGATACGCAAGTGCGCCACAACCGCCCAGACCTGGTGTTGGGGTCCAGCACACAGGTGCTGCTGATGGATGTCAGTGTTCCACTGGACCAGAATGTGCCCACAAAAATCGCCGAAAAAATAACAAAGTACTCTCCCCTTTGCCAAGAGCTGCGGCGCATCTGGCATGTGGATGATGTCCGCGTTGTGCCCCTGGTTGTTGGGGCGCTTGGTGGACTGACTGGTGTGTCCCTCTCACACTTTGTGTTGGCATTGGCAGGCACTCTGCGCATTGAAAGGGCTCAGCAATGTGCTATCCTGGGCACGCTGAACATCATCAAGTCGGTTCTTGGCATTCGGCATTAGGCTCCTCATGTTACGGGTAGAGCTAGTCTGTATAAACCTCCAATACCGCATTTGCTTTGACATCCATGAATGTGCAGTATGACGGTTCTCACAGCCTGATTTTTCTCTTGCCATTTGAGTATGTCCGGCATTCATCTCTTCCTCTATTTCTACAGGTCTATTCCTGTACTGGTAGTCCATTTTTGTGATTACTCTTTTTGTATTCGAATTATGTCCTGTCCTCCTCCATCTTTTTGTATTCGAATATGTCCTGGCATCCTCCATCGTACTGCTTATTTCTGTCCGTCTCTCAGTTTCTGCGTCGGCTTTCAATATTTTTGCTTTGGTTTTTACAATCCTTTTTGCTTCGGTCTTCATTGCGTTGGCCATTTATCTATTTTTTTTCTCTCATTACCCTTGGTCTCTTTTGGCCCGGTGATGGGGTTCTTACCTCATGTCATGACAACGTGAGTGAAATAAAGCCAACTCCATAATAATAATAATAATGCTGGACATTCCTGATGCGCGTGTCGAGCTGTGCACCAGACGTCTTCGAGCCTCTCGAGTCCTCTCTTCGCTCCGTCTTGTTGCCAGCTCTATTGGGTGTGCCAGTCGTCCCTGCCCCTCTACGCAGCCTCCTTGCTCTGCCTGTGCGTCATGGTGGCCTTGTAGTGCTCAATCCAGTTGAGGCTGCCCCGCAACAGCGGACAGCATCTCTGTCCATCACGAGCAGTCTCCAGCAACTTATCGCAGACCAGTCCTCCCTCTACAGCGTAGACCCAGCAGCCATTTACGCCGCCAAGCCTGCTGCCAAGCAAGCCCAGTCTGTGACTACCAAGACCGTCCTGCAGACAGCTGGTCCAGAGGCCCTACCACCAATGCTTCTGGAGCACCTCCAGGCCAAGGGAACAGGTGCATGGCTGACCTGTCTTCCTGTTCGCGAGCATGGATACTCCCTCGACCGGCGGTCCTTCGTTGATGCCCTATGTATTCGGTATGGCCTCACCATCCACGATTCACCTACCGAGTGTCCATGCGGCCGGCCGTTCACCATCGACCACGCAATGATCTGCAAGTTGGGCGGCTATCCCATCCACCGGCACAACCATGTCCGCAACTACCTGGGCCAACTTCTCTCTCAAGTGTCTGAGGATGTGCAGCTGGAGCCACCGCTGCAACCTCTACCGACGGTCCGCACGTTTGACCATGGTCCTGCCCTGCTCACTGCGGACGACGCCAGACCGGACATCAAGGCCAGGGGGTTTTGGTCGGTACAGACTGATGCATCTTTTGATGTAAGGGTGTTCTATCCCAACGCACAGTCGTACCGATCTCGCCCGCTGGCTGAGGTGTTCCAATGGCACGAGCGTCAGAAGCAGTCGGCATACGGTGCCCGGATCCGGGAAGTTGAGCACGCGTCGTTCACCCCGATCGTCCTGTCTTCTGCTGGTGCCCTGGCGAAGGAGGCCACCCGGTTCCTGAAGCTGCTCGGAACGAAGCTCTCCACCAAGCTCTCGCAGCCGTATCCCCTCGTGATGGGAAAGCTGCGGATGGACCTGGCTTTCAGCCTTGTCCGCGACTCCGTCCTGATGGTTCGTGGGAGTCGCCTTGCATTCCGTGCACCTGGTCTGGCGGCGGATGTGGATGCTGTTTCTGTGGAGGCCCGCATTCCCGCCACTACGTGACGCTAAGTCCTCCTGGGGTTTGCCGCTCTCCGGTCCTCTTTCATCCCGTTCTCCCCTCTTTTTTGGGGATTCTTTGTACTTCGTCTTTCTTGTTTTTCTTGTTCCTTTGTTTTTTTTGTAGGACACATTTTTGGTGTACTGATTTCGGTTGTTGTTGTGTCTGACTCTATTCCCAATATCTAATTCTGTGTTTGGTTTTCCAACTCATTGGGTTGTAGTTTCCATCATGAGTTTGATTCCATCGTGAGTTTGATTCCATCGTGAGTTTTGATTCTATTTGCTATTTTTCGTTACATTTTTGAGCTCACATCTATCTGCTTTTTTGGTGTTATTGGCCCGGACAAGAGGCTTCTTTCCCATAATAATAATAATATTAATAATAAAAAATTAAAAAAATAATAATAATAAAGGGTTTGCTCCCCACACCGGAGCTCGCGCTATTCCGCCGACTTTACTTGACACTTGACTGACTCACGACTGCCATCCAGAACACACGAGAAGTCCATCGAACCTTCGACTCGGCAAACCTGCAAGAAAGCACAACTCCCTGCTCAATACACAGTGTTTCGGGGAATTCACCCCTCATCAGTTGAGCTTGAGTAGGCTGAGGAAGATTGTGCCTGAAGAGCACCACTTATATAGTGCTCTTCAGGCACAAACATCACCAGGGATACAAACTTACAGAGACAATGTAAGTGGTGCTATATAAGTGGTGCTATATAAGTGGTGCTCTTCAGGCACAATCTTCCTCAGCCTACTCAAGCTCAACTGATGAGGGGTGAATTCCCCGAAACACTGTGTATTGAGCAGGGAGTGGTGCATTCTTGCAGGTTTGCCGAGTCGAAGGTTCGATGGACTTCTCGTGTGTTCTGGATGGCAGTCGTGAGTCAGTCAAGTGTCAAGTAAAGTCGGCGGAATAGCGTGAGCTCCGGTGTGGGGAGCAAACCCTTTCTTACAAATCATCGCCGAAGTCGCAACCACTATTTAATAATAATAATAATAATAATAATAAACAGCTCGCATCTTCCCTGAACCTGTAAGACAGGAGCAGAGTCGACGCATCTGTCAACAGTGTCAAGCCAAGTTAGGCTATCTCCTGCAGCTTGGAGAGCGCTCTCCACGGAGAGATCCGCTGCCTTCAGGTCGTGCCGAATCGTATCTATCTACCGCAATGGCGGACGGCCACGGGTTTTTTTATGTCGTTTGTGTTGATTGATAGCTCCAGTGCTTGGAACGAGGCGGATTCCGGACCCTCTCGCACCACATGGCCAAACCACAGCAGCATGCGTCGCCGGCATGTGGCACTAACTGGAGATTGTTTTGTTTCTGTGTATAAGTTGTTATTGGTGATGCGTTGCGGGTAGACAATCTGCAGCAGTACGCGTAGCTTCCTCCGTTGCCATTTGTCCAGTTTGTCGTTCAGCAATTTGGACAGAGTCCACAATCCGCAATTGTATAGAAGGATCGGCATTATGAGGCAGTAAAACATACACAGTCGGGAATAATAATAAAAAACACAGGTACGTTGTCCTGACTTACGTAAGCACGATGATATATCTGGGAGCAGCCAACCGAATTTGGCGTAATCATCGTCCTTTAATGTAGTGCACACTGCCGATATTCCCGGATGGTTGGTATACCCTGTATCACATGTTGAGTACCGCGCCTTATTGGCATTTGAATTTGAAGTTAGATATTTGCCACCCGGAATACTGTACTCAAGGCATTGTGGTGTAGGCGCTGAGAAAGCACAAAGAAGTGGAGAGCATTTGCCAGATTAGCAAGCACTGATGCAAGAAATGGTGTCTTCTTCGAACGGATATTCCCTCGAATATTGCGTTGGCGACCGAACGAATATTCTATATTCTTCTGAAGCGGCTCAGTCACTTCACTCAATCAGATGCAACAGTCACTCAATCAGATGCAACAGTCATGTTGTTTACAGATCACGTGCATAGTAAATATCCACTGGTGAAAGAGCAAATTTGACCAGAGAATAAGCAGCTTCACAGTTCTCATAACATAATTTCTTCCCTCTCATCCGCAATACTACAGAGAAGATCATGGTCGGAGCTGCATATTACAGCAACGCAGCACAAATGTTTGGGTAATAGAGTGTTCAAATGGCACTGCCTGCTTTTGAATATTCTTTCTGGTTTCTGGTTTCTGGTGTCGGTATTCTAGAATATTGCGAATATGCGAATATTCCTTTGCATCACTGTTAGCAACCTTACACCAATCCCAGACTCTTGGCCGGTATCACTATGCACACGACTTTCTCCTGCCTTACAGTGCATCACAAGCTGGTATAAGCGACCGCCCCCCCCCCCCCCCCCCCACGGTGCAAGCAACAGCGGGCGTTAAAGCTGGGTGGGCTTTAGAGCCAGGTGGCATACATGCGTGGCATAATTGGATTGGCTTACGAACATGATGTACATACATGGGCATAATTGTACTTCCATGTACTCGTAGTGACAGGTGTGGGGCATAGAATAGCATAATGTCGTGTATCAAAGCCGGGCAATGGTCATGGTACTCTCTATTAAAGATGATATCCTTGTAGATCGTTTGAAGCGTATATGTTCGTCCGGCAAGTTACAAGAGGAACTTGATTTCCCCGCTCAGTTTTCGTGAAGAATGGTTGCACGGAGTTTTTGTTGCAGAAGTTTTTGTCGGTCGAACACGCTAGCGAAGTCCCGTTGATTGGTCCTGCTCACTGTCCTGTCTATTCTGTGTTTGCCATGGAAAGGGCTGGAGTCGATTAACGTTTGTAGTGCAGTTAAATCCATTGTTCGTCGAACATACTACGCAGTACACTCCGTGCCTGTATTTACACCCTGGTGTGCGGTCACGGTGCTAAAAGATGTCCTGTTAACCCACCACCTAAGTCGTCTTATACAGTATTATAACTTTGAATGCCGGCGGCAGTGTGTTAGTCGGTATGCTGGTAGGACTGTAAACACCCGGTGAACGCATGCATCAAACAACACACAACACTGCCACCTAGCGCACAACAGCAAAGACCGAAGCGAGGCCGACCCAGGACGCACCCACAGACTGCACAACCATTACGGATTACCTACACCACCCCTGCAACTGACGGTTCTCACGCCTCTAGCTGTTGGTGCTCGAGTGAGAGAGAGAGAGAGAGAGAGAGAGAGAGAGAGAGAGAGAGAGTAAGTTACATTTATAAAGACAGGTAAGTCTAACAAATGAGGACTGAGACCTCTACAACAGGGTTTTTACGCCTGAAAGCAGGTGCATGATTTAACAAGCAGGTTGTCAGTCTAGATTTTATGCGCAGATGGAGAAAAAGCGCAGAATTTTTGTAATGAGATGAAAAGCAGAAATAATAAGAAATAATAAGAAAAGATGAAATGAAAGCCTGCTCACAACCCCGCCCAGCCTTGCGAACTGGGTATTGTGGATTAAGAACCCGGTTCAACGCTCGAGCAAGCGCTCTCCACTCAAGGTGTTCACAGCAACTGATAGGAACTCATATGGGGAAATTATAGAAAAGAAATAATAAGATAAAGAGAATAAATTTCAACGCACCTCAATAAACGGAGCCCCACATACAGTACCTCAGAAAAGTGGATCTTCCGACCAGTGTTTTTGTTGACGTCGCAACCAGATGATGTGGCTGCTTCGCAGAGACGTCTTACTGCACAAATTACAAATAAATTTTATTCTTCGATTAGAAAACCCAAGCGCTTTCAGAGCCCACCGAAGAGAGTCCGGGATGAAACCACGCACACCTACCTCAACCGAAAAAGAAACGACCTGCCACCCGTTTGCTCGGCATTGATCGGCCAGATCCGCATACCGCCTGTCCTTCCGCGAGTTACTGACACTGAATCTGTCCTCAGCACAAACTGTCAACTCCATCCAGAATACAATCCTACGACTCGTAGAGTACAGAACTATATCTGGTCTTAGGGTGGTAAGTGCAACACAGCTAGGGAAAGAAATCTTTGCACTAACTGAGTCGACAAGAAGTTTCCAGTCTGAGGCCGCTGACAGGAGATCAGTCGTAACCAACTTCCATCTGGGCTGAACGCGAACTGGCTTCTCTCCCGCCTTGCAAAACGAGATGAAGTCAAGCTCATTTGAATTTTCGGTTTGTACGGTGTTTGCAGCAGTGCGGATTCGAATCTCCTCACGCATGTTCCTGACGATGACCCCGAGTACGTTGTCGTGCCTCCAGTTGTAACGTCCCTGGTCCAGCGCTACGCGACAAGCGCCAAGCACGTGGCGCGTAGTACAGGCCCAGGCACGGCACAAACTACAGTACGGATCCACTACGGTGTTTCCCCAACGGCGTAGGTTCGTCGGAGAAGGTAGCATGTCGAGGGTTGATGCGAGAAGAAATTTCAAATCCTTACCAGTACCACCGTACAAAAGGGATTTCCACGAGAGGTCCTGCCACATCACCGATGTCCACTCCAACCACTTGCCTTGCACCTGAAGAGTCTTCAGCCTCAAAATCTGCTCCTGCGCGTTGATCTCCTCAAATGTTTGAAGGAGATCCTTCCTCGGGGGTTTGGAATGCTGCTTCGGAGCACGAGCACCCAACCCTGCACGATGACTTGAAGATGACGGTGGACGGAGAGTCCCTGAACCTACTGATGCCTCTGCACACTCCAGCTCTATTGTCGCCGCATATCGCTTTGTCAGCTTCGCATCCTTACTCCGACGCAGAGTGTACAGCGCCCTCATGCGCGCGTCCCCACTCGATCGAAGAATGTGCCATTTGATGGACTGGCACTTTTTCCACACCGTAGGAAGGTAGTGGAGGCATAAGCCAAAGCGTTTGCGACTGCCAATAAAAAGAATGGCAGAGTTTGCGCATCGAGGTAGGCCTGACCATTTCTTCAGAAATGGTAAACACATAAAGTGCAGTTCACGTACAAAACCTTGTGTGAGTTCAAGAACCTGGAAAGACCAAGAAAGCTTGGGCACTACAAGATGGTGGTAAAGCCATAGCTTGTGATGGTCTTGAAGCCAAGAGCCATCTACTTTTTGCATGAGAGATACAGTGAGTTGACGGATGTCTTCCCGCTGGGTCTGCTCAGAGCAATCAGCATGCAGCCTTCGCCCCAGGAACTTGAACTCTGCAGTGTCAATGAAAGCGATCTTCCTCCCTGACATCGTCAGGCAGGGATCGTAAGGTTTGTACCCTCCATCTACAAGCTTTGCTGCACTGCTTTTGCATTTGTGCGGCGCCGCCTGCATACATTGGGTCCACGAGAGAAAGTCCTCCGTGACCGCAATGAGTTTTTGACAACCTGCACTAGATTTGCTATAGAGGCCTAAGTCATCAGCAAAAGCTGTTTGGGACACTTGCAAAGGGGCAGATTTAAAATCATAGGAGAGGCAACTTAATTCAGGGGCTGCAAGTGAGTCCAGCAGAAGCTGGAAACAAATATTGAAAAGGACCGGGGACAAGTGGCACCCCTGGAAAACACCAATGTTGTAATTAAAGGTGGGAGTGTGTGGTTGTACGACGAAAGCGCAAAGACCGTCGTAGTAGGAAAAAATTAATTTCCTGAATTGCAAAGGAAGGCTGTAGTGGGTTAGAGCATACTGTATCAGATTGTGGCGCATTGAACCAAATGCATTCTTCAAATCTATCCACGCAATGCAAATTTGGCGTTTTGCCGTCTTTGCATCACGCATCGCCTCATAACAAAGTGATGTATGCTCTAAGCACCCAGCCTTTGCAGGCATAAATCCTTTCTGGTTGTCACCATCGAAGAACCTATTGCCTAGCATATGTTTCAAGAGGCGCTTTGCAACTAAGGTGAAAAAGATCTTCCCGGACGTGTTTGCTAGAGCAATCGGTCGGAATTTCGAAGGATCATCAGACACCTCCCCCTTGGCCAGGAGTGTGATACGAGAGAGAGGAGAGAGAGGAGAGAGAGAGAGAGAGAGAGAGAGAGAGAGAGAGAGAGAGAGAGAGAGAGAGAGAGAGAGAGAGAGAGAGAGAGAGAGAGAGAGAGAGGGAGGGAGGGAGGGAGGGAGGGAGGGAGGGAGGGAGGGAGGGAGGGAGGGAGGGAGGGAGGGAGGGAGGGAGGGAGGGAGAGGGAGGGAGGGGGAGGGAGGGAGGGGGAGGGAGAGAGAGAGAGAGAGAGAGAGAGAGAGAGAGAGAGAGAGAGAGAGAGAGAGAGAGAGAGAGAGAGAGAGAGAGAGAGAGAGAGAGAGAGAGAGAGAGAGAGAGAGAGAGAGAGAGAGAGAGAGAGAGAGAGAGAGAGAGAGAGAGAGAGAGAGAGAGAGGGGGGGAGGGAGAGAGAGGGAGAGAGAGAGAGGGGGGGAGAGAGAGAGAGAGAGAGAGAGAGAGAGAGAGAGAGAGAGAGAGAGAGAGAGAGAGAGAGAGAGAGAGAGAGAGAGAGAGAGAGAGAGAGAGGGATGGAGAGAGGGAGAGAGAGAGAGAGAGAGAGAAAGAGAAAGTGAGAGAGAGAAGGAGGAAGAGAGGGAGAAGGAGGGAGAAAGGGAGAGAGGGAGATACAGACAGACAGACAGACTTGGTGTTTTAGTAAAAGTGATCTTACTGTCATCGCGAGGTGTGGTGGTGTTGCCTTTGAGTGCTGCAAAAAAAAAAGAGATGCACATTTCCCTTTAGCCAAGTTAAGAAAATTGATTGTTTATCGTTCGGGTCCGCCCCGAATTTTCACCCTCCTGGCCAAACTATTTAACCCTTTACCGGCAGCCCCATACTTGAATGCGTCAACGTTGACGCATTCGACATGCATGCAAAACCATGCCTGGCGTGACGGGAAGCATCAGCCCACGGCGATTTCCCGTGGCCCTCACACAGCCAAGGTATGATCCTATCGGTAGCTGAAGAGATCCACGCGTGTCCCATTTGATTTCATTGAGAACTGCGCGATCGAAAACTTACGGAAATACGTGCGCCCCGACAATGCCGTCCCCCTCCGTCAAAACATCGTCAGGTGCATTTTCTCTTGCGCAGTGAGTTCCTATCGTCCTCGGATGACTTCTCCGACGAGGACCTAGCAGTCCTTCGCTCTGTGACCGACGACAGATAGATAAATACTTCGTTCCAGCCGCCGATGCAAGCGAATTTCAAATTACGGAGCGTGGCGCACGCCAAGTAAATTCTCACGCAAATATGGGGAGCGCCAGCCGCTGAAGACGATGTCGTCGTGATGTACCTGGAAGAAGCTGATGGTGCTTATGGTGGGGAAGCCATGGAGAGCGATCCCCGTGTCGACAGTCTCCCAGAGACGGAATTTAGGCCATCGACTTTCTCCGTACCTGAGTGACGGCAGCGCAGCGCGGCGTGCGTGCGACCGTCCGGAGCTTTCCGACAGCGATTCTGGGGCGATGCTGCTCTCTTTTGCGAGCGAAGCATGGCCAATGAAGTTTGTGTTGGCTATGGCATTTGTTTCCGCTCCGAAGTCGACTTGTTTTGGTAGTATCATGTCGATGTCGGAACTCTGACGATTTGCATGTGTACAATTTCCGTGTTTAGACGTAGAGGTGCCAATTTAGCAGCGTATGTGTGTGGTATGAGAAAATAATTTTTTCCATGGTCAAGAAGTAGTACAGTAAATATCATTATATCCGGTCACTTTATAAACGATACTTACTGTACTAGACTTCCAATAAAACATAACTTGCACATACAAAATGTGGCCTCGTTGTGAGTTATTGGCATCCATCTAAATGTTATGGATTTCACATACAAAAGTAACTTGCCGGTAAAGGGTTAATTTATTTAGTACTGGTAAATACGCTGTATGTACTGCAGTCTACGGCCTCTAATCAGCATGACCGTAGATTTTCAAAGGTCAAGTCCACAGAATGAAGCATAACTTAGTTTCAGGCAGGCACTCTGAGGAACTGTCTGCCCCCTACCATAACCTCCCTCATAAATATTGCTGAGTTTAAAAGAGAACTGCATACTAGTATGGCTAAGTTTCAATTTCACTGCAAAGGTATTCACTGATATTCCTTGTTTTCCTCATTGATTTGCTCACTTCCAGTTTCAAATATTTATTCTCACGATAGCCAGTGGCCAATAAGAGATAATAGTGTAAGAAAGGAGAAAGAGTGAGGAAGAATTGGGTGGGCAGAGCCTGGGGGTTAATGATTACTTCAGTGTACGGGCAGTGGTAGTCGCTACTTGAGCATACAGAGTTGTGCAACAGCAGGGATATCTAGGATTTGAAGAGAGTACGAGAAGGGATTTCACGAAGCTGGGTGGGCAAGCGATTAAAGTAATGAAGGGCCTTGTACAGGGGAGAATGGAGACAGTTGTCCTATTCGTCGTGTTATTTCTCCTTCTCTACTTGCTTAGGATGAGAACATTTCATGTTCTCATCCTAACTGTACAGAATGGAGACTCCATCGATAGGCATAAACGGCCTCCGGGGAATCCTTTAAATAAAAAATATACAAATACAAATACAAATATATTAATTGTGACGTGCTTGAGAAGTGAAACTGGTTATCAGCTGCCTGATTTTCTTCATTTTCTACGTTGGTTGTTGCACTTTTCCTTATGAGAATCCTCAAAATTGTCTTGCAAGATGTTATTCATGGCTAACGATTCATCTGCATCACATGGATTTACCTCATCGTTCTGTGCCAAATGGCTTAAAATATAACGAAGAAAAAGGCATGCCTGGGGTTGCGAACACCTACCCTACAACCACACATAAACATCTACATGCAGAATAAGAAAAGAAAATGAAAAACCTCCCTTCCGCCCCAATTTCTTAGGAAAAGCTGACGATAAACAATCAATATATTTGACATGGCCTTAGTATGGATGTGTAGTTTTTATTGTGCAGACGTGCAGATGATACTGTAAGCCTACAAATTTTCGGCTCATTCAAATTTTGGCCTCCCAGGGCTAGAGCCTAAAACCCGTTTCGGCCGCATCAAGTTCTCGGCCTGTACCGCTGCTGCCCGTATACATTAGCGAGGTTCTGCCACACGGTAAAACGTACCAAAGTACATATGGAAACCTCGCTGCCCGATGGCTGGCCACGTAGTCATCGTTAAAGAGGAAGTTAAGCCTAAAATCAAATCTTCACCAGTTGTAGTCTTCGAGGCGCTGAGTCGAATGGTCTTGGACCGAGGAAGCTGAGACGCTCCCTTCCTCCTTTATTCCCAATCAAACTCGCGCACTTCCACCGAAACTGGGTGACTGTGCCCTACTAGATGGGGATTTGTATGCAAAATGTCACTAAAAGCGCAATTTCGTTCTTATAAAAGCACGGATGACCGCGATTGGCTCATATGTTGTAGTCTTTTGGATTCTGAGTCGACTGGTTTTGGTCCGAAAAGGCGGCGATGCAGCGTTCCTCCTTTATTCCGAATCGAACATGGTTGAACAAACGGTCTTGTGCTCCTGCAGACACCAGTCACCTGGTCACCGTGCCCGCAGGGTACAACTTACAGCCTGTTTGACCTTTTTGAGGTGCAGTCCTGTCACTCGAGTTGAACTCGAGTTGAACCTTGGTGTGAAAGTTGTCGCCTGTTGGCGCGGTGACCAGGTGACTTGGGCACGCAGCATTCTCGGACCAAAACCAGTCGACTCAGCGTCCAAAAGACTACAAAATATGTTCCAATCGCAGTCATCCGTGCTTTTGTAAGAACGAAATGGCGCTTTTAGCGACATTTTACAAACAAATCCCCATCTAGTAGGGCGCAGTCACCCAGTTTCGGTAGAAGTTCGCGAGTTCGATTGGGAATAAAGGAGGAAGGGGGCATCTCAGCTTCCTCGGACCAAGACCATTCGACTCAGCACCCAGAATACTACAACTGGTGAAATTTTGATTTTAGGCTTAACTTCCCCTTTAAATGTTCTGCACGTTATCATGCCACAATTACAAAAACGACCCTTTGGGACCCCATCGATCGATACAGTGGCACTAAAAAAATTATATCTCTGGTGTTCCTTCACCCATTTTCATAAACGAAACATCTACATTTCAAGAGGAATCTTGGCTATCACTTCAAAGTTATCCGAAGACTCTACAAGGTACGATGCCGCCTTGGTGAGACTCGAGGTCCGAGGAGAACTGAAACATTCGCTCTGATCGAAAAATTCAAATTTTCACACTGCACTTGGCAGGAGTTTTCCCCGGAGTGCTACCTCGTACTCAAGCATGCAGCACACCAAAATGTTGCACTTGAAACAAGCTTTCCGCTGTAGTTTGTTTGAAGTCGATGTGATGAAGGAGAATGGAATGGCGGCTGTTTGAACTTTGCTGGAGCTATTCGCGCACGGCTGCTGTTTTGAGCGGCATTCTAGGCCACGAAGAGCAGAGGCCGTGCAGGTAGCTGTCTTAAGTGTGGTATTAGTCGCTTCGTCTTGGCCTTGGAAATACCTTTCCAGCAGTGGCAAGTTTGTAAAAATCGGTGAATGTTTGGCAGAGATACAAGCGAAAGTGGATGTTATACGAAGGTGAGTAAAAATTGTCGTACTTTCAGTGGGGTCACCAATGTTAAAAAATTTTGGTTGGTAAACTTTCCGGTTTTACAGTAAATGGAAGAAAACACCCTGATCATGGTCGGATCGAACCAGGAGACTTTCTACTTGAAAGTTTGCGGGGAAGGGGGTGATGAACACCTGATGATGAACGCAGCACACACTGATGATGAGAGATTAGTAAGTTTGCTTACGGATGCACGGAAGTCCTTCTGGTACAAACCAACCAGCGCCGGGGTTTTTGTGGCTATTGTGGACACAGGTTGCAATATGTCTGTCAGCACGTATATATTTGTTTTCACACACTGGAAGAACTGACTGATTAGCCCCCGCAGCAACATAGTGGCCACCCGTGAAGTTGTATTTGTTGCATTGAACTAGCATAGCGGAGAAAGCACAAACAAGTCGAGAGCATTGGCCGTGTTAGCAAGCATGTACGCATCATAGACTCTTGGGCAGTAGCACTCTGCACACGCCTTTCCCCTGCCCTGCAGTACATCGGACCTATAGTCACCCTTCCCTGCTACCAAGTTTCATAGCACCTGTGTCTCGAATTGAGTGTGCCAATTTTGTTGATGTTGCCGTTGTCGTCGTCAATGCTGTTTAAAAAAAAATTATTCTCCCGATGGGTTGCGGACAAAATATAGTGAGAGTTACATCACAAGGAGATTAATCATATCTAGTAACTCAGTGGTCCTTTCGCATTTTTGCGTTAAAAGTACTAATATGCCTTGGTTTAATACGCCGTGAAGTCGTGTATCAAAGCCGCGGCAGCTTATATGACTCTTCCGGGGAAAGTTTGCAGGTTATGTAACATGACAGGTATTTCTATGCATGCCAACGGTAAAACCATGCTCGTGTGCCGGGAGAGTGCACCTTGAAAATCAGGCGCCCATTCACTACACGGCTTCTATTTGAGACAGGCTTTAACACGAGATACTACAGTAGGTGTAAAGAGTATGAAAAGGATGCAGACATCACCAAGCACCATAACACCCGATGTTGTTTTCTGTGAAAGTATATTCCGAAACTAAATTTTTCTGTGCCACTTTATTAATTTTTTTTACAAGATAACCACAAACCATCACGGTGCAAACGCCGGCAAAAACGCACAGAGATACACATAGGAATGGCAGCCGAAGCGGTGCTGTACAAGCAGGTAGACCGACCAGGGGTCTCGGTTTCAGCACTGCTCATGCGCGCCAAACAGAAAAATACGAAAATAGAACAAAATGAGCAGGATATCAACGTTCAACTCGTTCATGCTGGTTTTATCACACTCTTCGCGGAAAGTATTGATAAATTCTCCACTGATGCATAGTACAAAAGAGAAAGGACCAAGGAACTACAAGCTACGCTATACCGTAGGCTGTCCACTAACACCACCAGTTACTAAATATTCAGCTCATGAGTACCTCAGTTCTCTATCCTCCACTGATGAGCGGAACACGAAAATTGCAATTCTGGAAAAGAATAGTATTTTAGGCGAGATCAAAATAAAATAGAGATTCCCGGGCAGGACCCATGTGAAAATTGGTGCGCACAGGCATTTTCTTTTGCTATGCATGTCTGCATAGCGTGCTGAACTTTTTTTTTACTGTATTTTCCAGTAATTTGTTTTACAAACCACAGGCACGCGGCTTACACATCTTCCATCGGTCCAGCCTTTCCCGCTGCGAGTTACGTGTAAAGGAAACAACTGCTACGCCTGGCTGTACACACCACAGAGCAGGGCCACCCGAAAAGCCGGCCGTCCGTGTCCAGCACTACTCCTACACTACCTGCTCTACAGTCCAGTTCAAAAACATTGACAATCAGGTTTTGGTCTTAAAAAGTATGAAGATAAGGGAAAATCAGAAAACTAAGTAGAGTGAAACCTGGTTAGGAAGAACACGCGTAAGACAAATGTTTGCCTAAGAAGAACTAGTATTCGTAACTGTATTGGATAAGACCCTGTGTATTCACTGGGTAAAACGTAATGGATAAGAAGAACTCCCGTTATTGCGAACAAATATCATCGGTCCCTCGATGTTCATCCTAAAGCGGTTTGACTGTACATAGAAGGGCTTGTTAGGGCATGGCCAATTGTTCTGTGAAGGTTTCGGAACAACTGGACCAGCCGTTAAGGAGTTAAGGATTTCGGCCAGGTTTCTGGCCTTTTACCCTGGTTCAGACGTTGCCCAGGAAGCCAGTAGCGATTTTCATCAAAACAAAAACACAATAATTATATCTTAGCCTCTTTGACCTTGTGGGTATGAATGCTGTCTGCTGACCATGAAGTTGTGGGTTCGAATCCCATCCTATCTTCAACTCGAACTTTTTTCGTCGTTATTTTGGTGCGTCAAGTCGAAGGTGGCTGCTCCAAACGACTTGTTGAATGTTGTAGTTGGAGTTCGCGCTTCCTGCCGACTGACTGACACTTGACTGGCTCGCGTCATGTGATCATACACACAACACTGAAACTGGGTGAGTGAGCAGAAGTCATTGCGCTGTATCTACGAGTTGAATACAGACACATCGATCGATTGACTTCTTGTTGAGAATTATTTTAGTATTTCACGATCGTCAATTTATATAAATTTAGGAGTCGGCGACGTCTCCTATCAGCTTCCACAGGCGTCTGCTTTTCTCAAAATGTCGCCGAAGTCACACGGATCGATGTTTTTGTCAAGTCATGGCCTAGCACCTGGAGAATGAGTCCGTGTCTATGTCCTTTTCGTCAGATGGTGAGAGTAAATTGCATCGCGCACTCGCAGGGACGCAGCTCAAAGAAACGATTTGGTCACGAAACAAATTGGGACTCATGCCGCGCTTCAACATTTACCACGGTTTCGACTTGTCCTCTACATCGATACGAGCAAGAAGTTAGTTATTTGTTGTAAACCAGACGTGCATGTACCTGCGTGCGCGAGTTGTAATCTTCCATGCTTTCGCGCGGAATATTTCTTCGCGCTCACAGCGAGTTTTCCCGGGCACTACAAGCGGAAAGACAGCAAACTCCCCGGGCATTCACCAGGATTGTCAATGCTTTTGAAATGGACTGTAAGTCCAGGCATGACCTGGTCCTATTGTGCATTTCAAAAGTAGAGTCCTGTGGAGTAAAACCCCGTAACGTAAACCATTGAAAAGATACGCAACACAGAGCCAAATACGCAAAACACCGATAGAAAAAAAGCACTGCTAAAACACAGGCAGATGCATAAAACACTGACAAAAATACCTGCGGTGGGTAAAACTGTAACCATCGAAAAGATACTCACCGAATGTTTTGTTACCATTGTCTCCTGTGGTCACAAGGATGAATATACAAAAAATATTGACGGACAAAAATCTCACAAGTTATGAGTTAGTTAGAGGTTTGCACCGCGCGAACATATATGGATCCCATTATATGATATGTATATCAAAATGCAGCTAAAACAATTCCCCAAGACTTGCGCAATGTCATTCTTATTTCAGGTCAAACAACACTTGGAGAGAAAGACGGAGAGAGATAGAGAGAGACACAGAGAGAGAAGATTAATTTTTTTGCGGACATCAAATTCAGCTCCTACTTCTGAAGCCAGGAATCAAACGTTCCCTGTGGAAGTTTCGTTTTGCGCTGGGCTTCAAATTTGTTCATGCGATCAATCATACCGACTGTCCTTGTTGCGACTTCTCGATTGCTTGAACGCGATCCTTCAGCAACAGGACCTTGCGGTGCTGCTTTGTTTCTAGATTCCTTGATGCTGTTGTCAATTCGTCTGTATGACGGGGGTGACAGAGCCGCTCAGTCTTTGTTTCTCCTCCGAGTAGTATAACATTGATCAGAGAGCGCTTTCGATGCGCGTTCCCTATCATGTCTATTCTTGACATCGCTTGAAATTCTGACAGGTGTAGTGCAGTCCACACCCACTCCACAGTCAAAATGACCTGCGTTCATTTCTTCAGCTGTGGTATCGAAAGATTCCTTTCGGGACCACGGAAAATCATCAAAATTTTTAGAAGGAGCTTCGAGCAACATTTGATTTCCTACGTCGCGGTCACTAGTTACGGGTCAAAAATCGTCTTTGGGACAAGAAAAGGCGGTCGCTGGTCGCGTTCAGCAGGTAGTCGCTAGTCACAGTGAATTTTGCATGTGAGACCGTCCGTGCCTGGCGAAGCGATCGGTAGTACAAGGCTGGTCGCTAGTACCTTTTTGTCATTCATTGTTCCTACATGTACATGTATATGAACCCAGAACAATGCGTTTGGCTATTTTGGCACAAGGGATGTCGTCCAGCACTGGGAAGTGTTTTCTCGCCAATCAATTTGGTTTCCAGAGTCGCTTTGTTGAATCCAATCACTCGCGATAGTATCGTCCAAGTTGGCTATTTTTATGCGCCCATGATCTTGTTCCCATATGGTAACATACCTTGTCACCGACGTGTCAAAATACTTTCTAATTTGGACCAGGGATAGCTGGGTTAGACAAGTCGGTGACACAACCAAAATAGACTTGCATGGAAGTTTCGTAATGAAAGGACAATTCCTTGAGTTATACGAATAAGCGGCACGGAGACAATAACCTTGATAAGGCAATAAGCAGAAAATGTCACTAAACTGAGACTATTCTCTTAGCCTTCACACACACACGGACATACACCTACCCACATACCCATGCGCGTACTCCTTACACTTCACCCTCTCTGAGTCTCACATTGTTATTATTTCTCATCTCCCCACCTCTGTTATTAGTTTCACACTTCACCTTCTTTTTCTCCTATTTTCTTTCACATACTGCATTTCGTACTCTTCCACGTATTATATCCTTGTTCATTCCTAGATTTCAGTATTGAGACGTATTTTTCCTGATGAATGTCTCTAGAAAGCGTGTTCGGAAACCTTTTATCCAACTTTTTATCCATCTTTTATTTTTGTTCATGACTACGTCCAATGTCCGCTTCGCTGATTCTGCTAATTCCTTGAGTGTTCAGGATGATAAAGGCTAAGTATCCTCATCGAGGACTTTTCGGGTTTTGCATGGACAGAAACTGCAGCTGTTTGACAGACAGGCGGACAGACAGACAGACAGACAGATGCCGAGTATTATGCAGACAGACAAACCGACCGACCGACCGACAGACAGACAGAAAGACAGGCAGATGCCGAGTATTATGCTCATCAGAGTGACCTTACCATCTCTGTATTTAACAGTGCCGAGAAGTTCTGCAGAAAAAGAAAATTATGTCCACTTGTGTCAGGATCATCCTTTAATATCGAGACTACATAACCCGGAAAAGTGCGCAGCTCTAAAGCTAAGTGCAGTACGTTTAGAGAATTTCAAGTTGCCGCCATTTCTTGTGATTCATTGCAAGTGGTAAAAATAAAATAAGCCATATCCTAGACCTGGGGTGGATGGACAAATCCGTAACTTGATCCTATACTGTAAAAGCCATATGAGCCGGCGCAAGCGAAAAGGGACCTTATCCTGCTGCACGTGATTTTGAGAAAACCGCACTTGAAGTGAATCAGCTGATTCTCAGCTGTCACGTTCGGATCGAACTTGAAACTGTTCGTTTTTTGGCGATACGCGACTTCTTTGGAGCTCAGTCATTCTTTGTATTGGAGAGCCAGTATCCTGCAGCTCCTGTAGAAGAAAACCCTGGCTAAATCGACCCACGTACCACCGATCGGCGATCAAAATCGATCGACCGTGACCAGGTGAAACGTCGACACCTCCGCTGAATAAAATCGCACGCGCGAGCGGAAAGACAAAGAGTTGCTTTCACAGTTTCAGCGCAGTTGTCTTGCCGTCTTCGCTTTCTGCTAAGTCCTTTGGTCGGCGTAGCTGTTCACTATGAGCCTTCGTAAATGTTTCACCGTGAACGAAGCGCTGAAATCTCTCCTGGAAGAGATGAGGCTGAAGTTTTTGGTGAGGAAGACGAGTCAGACGCCAGTGAAGTTCGGTTCAACCTGACGACGGCGGCACTTTCTTCAGCAGCGAGTGGATGTCGACGCAGCAGCAGAGCTGTTTGTCGGAAAGGCAGAGCCCAAACCTCCGCAGGCTAGCTCCGCAGCAGCTTGTGAAGTGACCGTTGCGCCGGCAGAGGAGGACGACACTGTTCGTCAAAAAGAGAACTGCGGATGTTCAAAAAATTGCTTGCAGCAATTTGACCCAGCTGACATCGAGACGTCGATCCTGAACATGAGAGAAATGGAGTCGCACGAGAGTGAGCTGGTGGTCCTGGGCCTTCTTGAAGCTTTGAGTAATCCTGAAACAGTTTTTGAGAGTGGAGAGAAGCGCAAGAGGGAGCGTTTTACCTACAAATTCCAAGGACTGACTGTTTGTGTGGGTGCATTCCGTCACGTGTACGCACTGTCTAGCAAGAGGCTGAAACGGTACAGAAGCCACCTGGAGAAGAATGGGCTTGTGCCACTAGTGCACGGCAACACAGGCAAACGGCCACACAATGTCCTGGAGTTTGCTGGTGTGAAGTACTGCGTGGAGTACATCACTCGGCACGCGGAAGTGTTTGGAATTCCACATCCTGCGCCACTCCGTGGCAGAGACGACACGCCACCTATCTTCCTTCTAGCGTCACAAACGTACAAGTCCGTGCATGCAGACTTCTGCGACTGCTGCCACAAGGAGGGTAAGAAGTCTGTATCCTTGTCGACGTTCCGCTCCATCTGGCACCAGACATTGCCGCATATTAAGTTCATGACGGCTCGCATGGATGTTTGCCCGGTGTGCGAGGACTTGCGGCGCAACGTGATGGCGGCTGGGAGTGAGGAGCAGAAGACGACTGCATGCATCAGCTGACTGACCATGTTCAGCTGTTGAAGACCACACCTGAGCAGGTGAGAGCAGCAGGCCTTCCCCAAGTGTTGCCCCCAGCAGGTCTGTCACAAGAACGCCAGAAGTACCTGTTCAAGGATATCCGGCCGTTTGTGGCAGACCCTTACAAGGATGAGCTGTGTCCGCCTGTGCCGGAGGAATGACAAACTTGCGTAGTGCAACACACGTTTTGAGCCTGATAATTGCTAGAGTCTGGTGCTGTGTCAAAGCTACATGCCTCAGAACATTCTATTATTCTTGTTGTTAGATCTAAAATGCGGCGTGCCTGCGTGGTACGGAAGGACGTGATGGCCCATCAGACGTCACGCTTGGCACTATAAATTCAATCACAGTGAAACTTATGCCAACTGCCCAGTAGTGTGTGTATACTGTATCCTCCAGCCCTTCTGCTGCTGACTCGAAGGCTTCTGTAAGGCTTCTATGGCCAAATTATTGCAATTTACGCATTTCAAAGATTATTCGTGAATATGTGCGATGTTTTGGTGAAAACAGTGTTGATTTAAACGTCCGTAACTTTGCTATATGTTGATGGATTTTCATTCGTTTTTTTTTATCTGATTCATACGTTCTCTGGCTACAAGAATCCGTTGCTAACTCAAAATGCCCAAAAAACGGATAAGGTCCCTTTTCGCTTGTGCTGGCTCATATATAGATAACGAAGTGCTAATTCTAACGAGTTAACAAGGAGAAATCTGTCGCTAAAATAGTAATCGTTGTACAGAAATCGATACCTATACTGTCCTATTGAGCGTTGAGAATGGATGAGAATCGTTACCTTTGGTACACGTAAACCGGTCAATTTTTGGGAAATCGTTAGATATGCGCCAGAGTTAGAATAATGGCTTTTGCGGTATTGGCTAGTGCAAGGAAGCACGTGTGTTGTGGTTGACACCTCTTACAAGCGTCATAAACCATTGGTGTGAGGAACATTCAGAGATTCAGATCCAGAGACCTCTACAATCAACCAAAACTGAATAGCTGCTATATGTACATGTACAGGCATACTTATAGTTTCCAATAGAACATTTGCGAACTTTAGGGGATTCTGTGAACCCCCTCCCCTGGATCTGCCCCTGGCATTGCACCATGAGAAAATAACGTCAACATAGAAATTCTGTCCCGACACCAGGGTAAGCGGGCCTGGCACTGCCTTGGCGCTGTGTACAACTCGTGTACTTTGTGTCATGTGACACACCTGTGTACTTTGTGTCATGTGACAAACCTGTGTACTACTCGTGTACTTTGTGTCATGTGACAAACCTGTGTACTCGTGTACTTTGTGTCATGTGACAAATCTGTGAGAATGCTCACAGAGAACAGGATTGCCATGCCTTGGAGAGTCAGCCATGGCCACCAGCACCACCAACAACAACCACATAACCAACATCCAAACCACCCCAACCGAAACCATAAACTAGAAACAACACCGCTGCCACAACCAACACCTTTTCTTTCTACTCTATCGAGAAGAGAAGGATAAACACAGCCAAAATCTTACACGGAGACTGAGACACGGATTTTGGCTACGCATTCACAAGAGAGAAGCTAGTTTCATTTCCAGTAGTCTTGTCATCATCATGGTCAACATCATTAGAGAGGTTAAGTTTCACGTAAAAGTCTTACGTACGTGCACTTTTACGTCAAAAAGTGAAAAAACTCACGTAAAATTTGACGTGTTTTACGTGAGTTGACTGTCCCGCACGCAAGTTCATGACGTGAGTTTTTGGAAGTTTCGCTTGGTTATCACGACCGAATTTGTGTGAGTTTCCGGAATTTTATCGAGATTTATCAAGTTTGTTGGAAGATTTGATATTTGTGCAAACTAAATCCGAATCCTGCCAGGCAAAATTTCACGTCACGTCGCACGTGTAGCTTAACCTCTAAAAATTATACGTAACGTGAGATTTGCACCGCGTTTTGAAAAAGAGCAAAAAACGTGTAACTTAACCTCTCTATTCCGTAACGCTCCACATCCTAGTTGGAATTGTAGTTAGACCGGCTTGTCCCGGCACTGGTCTTACTAGTCTTGTCATCATCATCCCGTAATGTTCGACATTCTTTGTTGCCGAGGGACATAGCTCGTGCACATCTTCGTGGCGCATCCCTTCCCCTCGTTGGAACTTTCCGCACCTGAGCCTTCCAAGTTGGAAGGTAGTTGGTTTGCGGTTTGCAGATGTGTTGGAACTAGGTGCCAGGTCGTCGAATGTCCCAATATCCTTGTCAGTCGTGTGCCCTGTTGTCGCACTGTCTCGTTACCTTGGTGGACGGTTAGTCATAACTAGTAACTTATTGGTCCTTTTCTCGATAGTAGTAGATATGTGTACAAAATTAACCCTTTCAGTGCCAGGTCACTTAATACACTGTTGACCAGCACGCACGCTGGCACTACACGCAATGTTCACATTGGGCACTAAAAATATCGCCATTTCACTCACCCTGGTTCGAGTTCTGGTGGTGACAGTCAGTTTTTTCATCAGACTTTTCCCGTTTGTGTCGAAGACTATGAATCAGGCTTAAAATGATGAAACTCCGTTACTTAGTCTTCATCTCGCGTACGGGAAACCCATCGTGCGACCGTCGCACAATGGGTTTCCCGTACGCGAAATTCTTGAGCTCAGATCCACTTTTTCGCGATGCATTTCCCGTACGCAACATGAAGTATGAATCGGCCTTTAGGCTCTATGGAAACATGAGGATCTACCCTGTCAATTTATGGTGCTCACCGCTCTGTAGGCACAGGAGAACGGCCTATAAACACTTCGAAAGCCGCTCCCATGCGCCTTTGTAGTGCTATTCTACACTCAGCGACAATTTCTTTCGATTTGCTGCCCACACTCAACGTACAGCGACGATTAAAACACCAGCAGAATCAGGCTGTTCTAGCGCTCAGTTTGGTGTATGTCACACATGGGCTGTTCCCCGGGGAAATCCCCGTAATCAAACACCTCGTCAACTTAAGCATGAAGTGCGTCAGTCACATGCTTGACATTTCAACTGCACCCATTTCCCAAGCTTCAAGCTTCGGCGCTTGAGTATTTTACTTCGCTCTTTATCGAATGATACATCGTTGGCTGGGTTCAAAGCTTTCCAATGAGCCGTGATATGTTGAATTTGAAGAAGGGAGACCCAAGTTATAGCTGTTTGTACAGTGGCCTATGCTCATTTCTATACGTGCGTGATGAGTTATTCTCTTGTACAGGGCAGCCAGTGCACGCGAGTTTCACGTGTGCATCGATACCTCGTCGTACAAGTAGATAATCAAAACAGCAGGTGGGCATTCAAAGATTTCAGGTATGCATTGCAGTTGGAAAATCAAGAATTGATTGTAAAAAGTTCTCTTTGGGGAAAAGCCGCGGCCCTCCGGTACCTGAAAATGCATGATGTAACCGAGCATGCACAGGAAGAACATGGGCTCAGAGAAACCTGGGAGAAATTTTGAATTTTTGATGTGAGTGTGGCAAGCATGTGAAACTCACGTGCACTAGCTGCCCAGCACAAGAGATCGTTCTGGACCAATCTGGGCCATCTTGTACTGCTGTTGCAGTCCTTGCTGATTTGTTGTTGTGGAGCAGTTCTTCTTTCTCGTCATGGTGGGCTGTTGTTCAGCAAGTGACGCTTCGTAGCGGCTTCATTCGTGTTTCTGCGAGGGAAGGGATTATGCCCATGATATCTCAGTGCTGGTAGCGTAACGAAAAGGTGTATGGAGACGATCTGTGTGTGCTTTGCCGCTACGAGGCTGGATTCGGCTCGTGCGTGGTCGTTGGAGAGTTCGAAATTTGATTATTTCCCCCAAGTGACTTTTAGTTAATAACGCTATTCAAGACCATTTGTTGGCGCTTGGGGACATGTTATAGCAGACTATGGTGGTGGTCTACCCCCAATTTCAGGACGCAACCCCGTTGCTACTGGCCCTTCAAGATGGCCTTCGTAATGGCCACCATCGGACAGCCTGAATTGATCGATTTGTTCGAGGGACTCAGCAACATGCCAATCGAAAGCTGGATGGCTAAACATTACTAGGAAACTTGAATATATGTGCAAACATAGTCGGTTCAGCTGAACTGCGTTGTTGTGAGCAGCAGTGACCTCTCGTTCTTGTACCTTATTTCGGTGCGTATTTCAGTCGATTTATTATTATTTTGCCCAATATCCAAGGACCAAACTGTCATATTGGGCGAACAAGGTCCACTCAGGGATAAAAAGGAGCCAACTTGAGCGAAATCGGAAATTTGACCATGTCGGGTGATATTTGCTCGTTACAGACATTGAGTCTTTAAAATTGATAAACAGTTTTCGTGCTGACAAAACTGAAATCAACGCAATAAGTAAAGCAAGTTGCGCCTTCAATACGCACACAACGATGGCAACGAAAAAGTTCAAGGAAACCTCATCTGTGCGAATGGTATGTGTGTGTGTGTGTGTGTGTGTATGTGTGTGTGTGTGTGTGTGTGTGTGTATGTGTGTGTGTGTGTCTGTCTGTCTGTCTGTCTGTGTGTCTGTGTGCGCGCGCGCATGTGTGTGTGTGTGTGTGCGTGTGTGCGTGTGTGTGTGTGTATGTGTGTGTGTGTGTGTGTGTGTGTGTGTGTGTGTGTGTGTGTGTGTGTGTGTGTGTGTGTGTGTGTGCATGTGTGTGCGCGTGTGTGTATGTGTGTGTGTGTGTGTGTGTGTGTGTGTGTGTGTGTGTGTGTGTGTGTGTGTGTGTTGAATGCGCAGCGTGCTTTACATATTTCTTTGAGTTAATAGACACACGAACATAATTTCAGTGAATGTTAACCTTACTTGAGCAGATTGTTCCCTTGGGCAAGGCCCAACCATGTACTGCGACGTGACCATGTTTCCCATAGTATACCACACAGGTTCCGTACAAGCCCGGTACCGGTGAGTAGCCACTGTCGCAAATTGGATCGGCAATTGTACCAGCGAGTGTAGAGTTTAATGTGCCGTTGTCAAACTTGTATGTGTTGCACTTTTCTAGGAGTCAAGAACAGACAAACGAGCCAAGAAGATTGGCCGGATCAGTAGACACCGTTGACCTTTGACCTTTGATGCCCATCGCCGGAAGCGATGATAGCAATGCTACGGCAGAAGCCATAGCAACTTGTGCTGGGATTGCACCATTCAGCAGCTTGCAAGGCTGAAGAATTGACCATCACTATTCAGCCTGGTCTACACCATACAGCTATTTTGAAGTGACTTTTTCTGGCCAGTGAATCCCTATTTTTGGTCTTTTCATTTTTTTTCTTTCTTTTTTTCCCGCACACACATCACACCACATACTCCGGCATGCACTGGCTGTTGGTAACGACCCAGGAGAATGAAAGAAAAGTCAGGAAGAGTCTGAGAAAGAGAAGAAAGACGTGTGTGACCATAATCGTCGGGAATCGAACCCGCAACCTATCGATTGGAAATTGCTGCACATACCACTGCACCATATGGGACACACACACGCACACACACGCACACACACACACACACACGCACACGCACACGCACACACCGTTTTGACCATCGGACGCCCATCGCCGGGGGCGATGATAGCGATGCTACAGCAGAAGCCATAGCAACTTGTGCTGGGATTGCACCATTCAACAGCTTGCAAGGCTGAAGAATTGACCACCACTATTCAGCCTGGTCTACACCACACATCTGTGCAATGACTTTTCCTGGCCAGTGAATCCCTACTTTTTAGTCTTTTTTCCGTTCACACATCACACCACATACCCTGGCATGCACTGGCTGTTGGTAACCACCCAGGAGATAGAAAAGAAAAGTCAGGAGAAGTCGGAGAAGGAGAAGAAAGGCGTGTGTAACCATACTCTTCGGGAATCGAACCCGCAACCTCTCGATTGGAAATCGCTGCACATACCATTGCACCATATGGCACACGCACACACACCCGCACGCACGCGTGCGCACACGCACACACACACACACCATTTAATTTAAACTGTGGCAAAATGTACACTAGTTTTCACTACAGGCCCGACGGAGGTCAGTATAACGACCCTGACTATAGTGTACGAAAAGGAATTGTCCCTGCCCAAACTGCAACACCATTGTACCAATTTTCTGAGGGTTTCACACTGTTCGCTTGATCATGCGGGCATATGCGCATGGAGATCTCACTTTAACCAAGAGCCCATAACCCCAAAAGTGTGCAACTCTGTACATGGGGGTCTGCGCGTCAACGTTACGTCAAAAACACATTCGTTGCGCTTGTACTACTCCCTGGTTGCCAGCACGGCGGAATTCGGAGCTTTGTCCTCTGTGCCTCAGCGGCATGGCGCAATGTTGGAATTCAGCCGTGCAGTGGGCCTACAGCAGCCAGACCCCAGTTGCACACTCTTGCGGTTATGGACTCTTGGTATAACCAAGAGTACATAACCCCAAGAGTGTGCAACTCCAGCTATGGGGTCTGCGACGGCAGAACTTCACATCTCGTGATGAACCCGTGCACTCTAGTGCATGATAGATACTGGGTTGTACGCAGCCCAGCTTTGGGTACAACTCTCTTGTGGTCACTTTGCACTGTTTGCCAGCATAACCTTTTGAACCATGTCACGTGATAAGAAGTTCTGCCGTCGCAGCACAGCATAGAGGTTGTGCAGGCAGTTGCACACTCTTGGGGTTATGTACTCTTGGTATAACGTAAAATCCTTCAGCCGAATGACTTTTAGGCCGGGGTCACTTTCTGTTTTTGAAATTTCTATTCACGGCTACAAGCATTCGCTTACACTCTACACACACGTTCATCCGTTCTTCCAACACACCAGTCGTTTCGACTCACTAAAAACATGTGAGACACTATGTTTCAAACTTTACTTTTGCGCAGTTTGCTAGCGTTTCAGCTGTCGCCTGCTCACTGCTCATTGCCTCTGCCGTGTTGCTGGCACCCTCACTGGAGCAAAAGCTATGCACCTTGAATATCATTAACATCCATTCCATGCTTGTCAGTTGGGGACATCGAAGGCGAGCGACCGCGATACTTGCTGCACCCGGGTACAACATCTGTGACTTTTCACAAATTTTCTCTGCTGTTCTGTCGCTCTCTCTCTCTCTCCCCCCCCCCTCTCTCTCTCTCTCTCGCTCCCTCCCCCTCTCTCCTTCCCTCTCCCTCCCTCCCTCTCCCTCCCTCTCCCTCCCTCCCTCTCCCTCCCTCTCCCTCTCTCTTTCTTTCTCTTTCTCTCTCTCTCTCTCTCTCTCTCTCTCTCTCTCTCTCTCTCTCTCTCTCTCTCTCTCTCTCTCTCTCTCTCTCTCTCTCTCTCTCTCTCTCTCTCTCTCTCTCTCTCTCTCTCCTCTTCCAAAGTTCTTTCTCATGAATTGGGCATTTGTGTATCTTAACCAGATACAGTATCAAGAGTACATAACCCCCCAAGAGTGAGCAACTCGACTATGGGTGCTGTCCTGACAGATTTTCAGGTTGACATCATTTTTATGATGCAATGCGCACTGAAAAAGCGGTTGGTGCGACTTCGGCGGCAATTCACACTGTACACGGATTATCAGACGAGTCCGGAACGTGTGGTGAACCGAAGACCATTTACAGTCCGTTCATCGGAAACTGTCAGGCTGGCTTTTGAAAGTGGGATTTGGGCTGAATTGAGGATCAAAAACCCACTTTAAATCTCAAAAATCTGGGTTTGGGATCTGCTTCTCCATACATTTTGCCATGGCCTACCTGTCCTAATTTTGTAAAACCTGGCTGAATTTCTATTTCCCTGTTCTTGGACTTTTCTGGCCTCAAATGTGGCAAGGAGTAATTGCACGGGTCACACAATGCAGGATGTACTGTTGTTTTCACGACACAGTACCTACAACTATGTGTGGGAGACACCAAAAAGTTAGGGGGCCAATTTCCAATGAATGGACTGTAATCCTGTACCAATAGTCAACTATGCACCCTTGCCTGTACAAATACAGTGAACTTCGCTTATAACGACTGTGGATATAACAACAATTCGCTAATAACGACAGCATTTCCATGCCCAGAGCAAAGTCCCTTCCAACTGTAATACATATAATGAGACTTCGGGTATAACGGCACTTCGCGAATAAGGACACTTTTTTGATGCCCCGCCGAGTGTCGTTATAAGCGAAGTTGACTGTAGAAACGTGTGCTGCGTTGACACCCGTACACATGTTGCAAATCACTGGTGCAAGGAGCATTGCACCATAAATAATGACGTCAACTTGAACGTCAGGCGAAATAGCACGTCATAGTACATTTGAGATCAGCGGGAAGAAGATGACGACGTCCACTAATTTAATATATGTGCACACGAATCTGCTGCGTGTGTGACTCTGTGTGTCAGCTATGATATCATCTTCTGTGGTTCCATGCCTAGCATGTACGTCTGAACCATCCTGCAAAGTTTGAATGACGTAGGTTGAGCGATCGCTCCGCGAAACATACTTTTTGAAATTCTCTTCCATAGTGTATCTTCCACCATTGAAATTTCGAATTTCTTCAAAAAAATTGCTGAGAGGGGTGGCTTGCAACCTCGATATGGCTTGTTCCAGGCATGCTTTGGAGCCATCTTCTGTTGATGTAGTGGCGGGGATCTGCCCTGCAACTGCTACAACAAAAAATGATTCGATCTGAGAAAGGGTGAGACCGCGAATTTCGGTTGAATATTGAGTATTTCAAGCCTTTTTTCACGACGAAGATGGAGTTCTTTTTTGGAGATGGACGTCGCGGCAAAGGACATGGTGTCCGACTTCTGGCATCTGGTGAAGCCAGGGATCATTTGTCCAGTCAGGTCGGCAGCCTAACCGTCGGTAAGCTTGTGTTTGGATCCCGTTCTGCTCGATGTGGTAGATCACAAACAATTTGATATCGCACAAATTGATCTCAGCATCGTGCGTACGGTATTTTATATTCAGAAAATCCCAAAGTGTCTCTGTGTGGCCGTCCTATGCCATGAGAAACTCCAATCAGGCTCCTATGTCCGCTGCCTTCATGATTGAATGTCCACTTCGTTTGAACAACGAACACAACAATCGAGGACGGCTTTGCAATGAAAAATACAGCTATACTGGAGCTGAAAAAAAAGAAGAAAAAAACGTGCTCAGGATGAGACTCGAGTACACGCATACTCTCCCCGCAGGTGAAACGCAAATTTCTGTGAAAAATGCGTGTCGCCGACTGACCAGTAATTTCGCCTGACGGTTCTGCCGGGACAGCAGGGTGTGTGAGAGTTGCACACTCTTGGGGGGTTATGTGCTCTTATTCTAGATAGTATGTAATGTCGGTGCCCCACATTCAAGTCGAGGATAATCTTATTATGGTTGACTCTCATGACTCATGACTGTAAGTTGGCGTGCATGTCTGAGGCACGTGTTGTGGTTCATAATGATCTGCTGCAGCATCATCACGTTGACATGGTTCAGGTTCTGCTATTCTTTCAGTTTCTTTCCTATTCTTTTTCTCTTGCTCTCGGGAGCCCGATCGAGCGGTAGAAAGTCTGATTTTTTTCTTTTTTCTTCCTTCCCTCTATTATCGCCATGGCTGGCTATGGCCCGCATCACCTTTTCGACATTGGCTAGTGCCATCTGATTGGCTAGTGTCACCTGATTGGCTAGTGCCACCTGATTGTGAATGAATGAAATACTGTATAAGGACACCCAGAATTAATTCGTTGTTTCGGGTCACCCGACCGACCGTCTTTTTTTCACCCGACCGCAAAATGTTTTTTTTTAATTGTGCATGCAAATGTGCATGACTAGACTAGGTACCCTGGTACGGATGAGTGAAGTGACCCGAAACAACGAATTAATTTTAGGTGGCCTAACAGGAAATTTTCGGACGGAATTTATTCTCGTACGATTTCGTACACGGCCTCTTTTGTGCTAAAATTAATTCCACACTACAATGTTCTGCTATACAGTGCTTGGAAGCTCAGTGCACCACTTTTCGATTGGCTCCCGCTCAGGACTAGTGCGTACGCGTAGTGGCACACTGCAGCTCATAATACAGCTAGCTAGCCACAAAACGCATGCAATGGGACTTGGGACGCGCGTACTGCATGCGAACACGTGCATTCAGCATGCAGCACTGTACGAAAATAAAATCCGTACGAAAGGTTGAAATCCGGCGTTGTAAAAGCTCGGATGTTGAGCCAATAGTAATATGTGAAGAGAAAGGCCAGTTTTGTGCCTCATTGTCGCACTGTCTGACTGTATAATTATTATCTCGTTACCTTGGTTACCTTGGTTACCTTGGTGGACTGTTAGTCATAACTAATAGCTTATAGGTCATTTTCTCTTTACATATTCGGCTTTGTCCGAAAATATTCCCATCTGAAAATGTCCTGCTATACGGTGGATAAATATTATTATCCTCGTCTCATGCTTTCTCATGCTTTCAATGCTTTCAATTTCCGTGAAACACTGACAAAATTATGTGTAAAACAAACAACAACTAAACAGCATTGATAGATACACGCCAGTGACTACATCGACATTGTTGACCTCGCTTACCTGTGCCTTGTGGGTTATTGAATCGATCATACCCAGCTGAGAACACAACGATAAAAAAAAAAAACAGGAAGATGCCGTTATCTTGCTTCACGGAGTGTTAGCCGCATTTACAAACACACTCATGGGGAAACTAATACCGTAAAAAATTACTAAAAATGTAAACATTAATGTAATTTTAGGTGTATTTTAAATGTCGGTGTCCGGGACCTGATGGGTTTCAGGTGTAACTTAGACTTAGGTGACCAATATTATATTATTACCTTCACATACAGCAACATACTCTTGTGCCGTTCACGTGTAATCTAAATTTAGGTGCCCGGTATTTCTACGAATTTAAAATTACACCGAAAGTAACCGGTTTAACGGAGCGTGGTCCCTACGGCGTCAAATGCTGAATTAGAATGAAACCGCGCTGCAGGGCTCCGCTCAGATATTTGTATTTTGTATTTTGTATTTATGGATTCTCCACAGGCCTTAGCCTAAATCGAGGGAGTCACCCTCAACAGCTTATGAAGAAGAAGAAGCTGAGGAGAAAAATAAAGATAGAATGATGCGGCTATACTGTGCGTGTAGCATCATTTGACTACATTCCGTGCGCAGCAATCCAGTATCGCACTAGTGCAAGCTTCCAGATCAGTGAACAGCTGGAATTCAAAACCCGCTAAATCCATTTCATCCGTTTTCAGATAACGGCCAAAGAGGAAGGATTCATCCAATGTGCGGTCTGTGTGTAAATCCATATTCGCTTTCCATTTTGAAACGGTTCTGGCAAGATTTTTGAATTTGAAATGTTTGGCTGGTGGCGCCCCTAGACCTTTTGAGTACGCTGAGGTGAAAATCTGATTTTCTCAAATGTGGCACGTATACGAGTCTTGCATCTCAGCTCTTCAGATGCTGTCAGCTGAGAGTGAAGGACAAGCTAAGTAACTGTTCTTAGACCTTCAGGCATCCTTCTACACTTTGTGACCATTCGTAAAATCCTCTAAGCATAAAATATTAATGTTCACCAAGCTAGCATGGCCAAGAATTCAACACTGAATGTGCAGACAAACACTTTGCGGTGCATCAGTCCTTAAGTCTGATATCTTGTGCGACATTTTGAACGCGGAAAGCAGTTTTGGCTAGACCATGAAGACATTAAAGGCTAATTCACAATACAACTTTTTTCTACACGACACCCGATTGGCGACAGTTGCGACAAGAAAATGCCCATCATGAGCTGTCGCGTACACTCGCAAGGTACCTGTCGCGGAAGTTGAAGAAAACTCAACTTTAGTATATACATGTAAATGGAGTACCGTTTCTACTCTGGGTGCCCGTGCAGTGCACATACTCTACAGTACCACTAGTAGTACAAAGGAACGTTGCAAACACCAAGATTGTGAGCCCTGTGTCGTTGTCGCAGCTCGCCGCGGATGTCTCATGTCGCATTTTCGTTTCGCAACAAGTTGTATTGTGAGTGGGCCTTGACGCTGTACAGGATCTATTGTTTTCCCTTTATTTTATTAATTTTTTTGAAACGTTTGTTCTGCTTTGTATCCGTATGGCAATGACCAAATGTAGAAATCCTTTTCTACCCATGTTTCTACAAGCGTCGGAATTGAGGTTCTGTCATGGCTAATGCCAGTGCCGTGTGTGGTGTGTGTGTGATGTGTACATGTGCGTGTGCGTTTGTGCGTGTGCATGTGCGTGTGCATTTGTGCGTGTAAGTGGGTGTTGGGGTTTAGTTGTGTTTCTGCAGCTGAGCGTTTTTGTTTCTGTGTGTGTGTGTGTGTGTGTGTGTGTGTGTGTGTGTGTATGTATGCGTACATGTGCGCATGCACGTGCGTGTGAATGTGGCTGTGCATATGTCCGCGTGTGCGTGTGTGATCCAGGTGTCTCTCCGCCCACGTAGTAACTTTGTCTCAGAGGGTTCTTTTAAGGAGGGAGGGTCTGCCCCACTCCACACTCTCCCATCTGCCCCACTTCGCTTTAGGTTTGTTTGTTTGTTTGTTTGTTTGTGTGTGTGTGTGCGTGTGTGTGTGTGTGTGTGCGTGCGCATGAAATTGGGTACCAGTGCATCTAGTGTCTGCTTCTATCAAAGTGGCGTGCTGTCTATACTGGTTACCCCAGCAAGTACAGGGTGTGCATAGGTAACTGTCTTGGCCGTTCTATGCCGCTGTACTCCGTGTGGTGTAGACCAGGTGTGCATTGGTTGTCGATTCACATGGCTTCGCCGGTTGTGTGGATTGAACAGTTATCTGACGCTATTCTTGATCTGTCTCATTCACACCTTGCCCGCTATCGTTGCTATAAGCGAAAAAAGAGTGTGGGTGCACATCCAGTGCACTTGCAGATTTGCGTGCGTCCCCCTTGCAACGGGTGTATACATGGTTTGTGTGTTGGGGGGGGGGGGGTGGGGGGTGTCATTTGTGTATGTGGGGGGGGGGGGTCTTTTGTCTCCTAGTCCTACAGGACTAGTGCTGTGGCTGAGGACGAGGAAGGGGGGAAACACTGCTGCTACAATTACTGTAGAATGGCCGATTTTAGCGGGTAAATTTTGTAGCGTTTTCTGTATCTGGACCAAGTCACAATGAAAATATTTTAGCAATTCAATTTTCGGAGTTCAAAAAGAAGGATTCTTTGTAAAACATTGTAATGCACTGTACATGCTAAATCTCGATTGGTGGGGTAGAAATTTAGCGAAAACTCTCCTTTCGCTAAAATCTTTAGAATATCACCATCCCTAAAATTCGCCAGTTTTATACCCTATGCAACTTTCTTTCTCTGGGACATGGTTAAATCACCCAGAAGAAATGAGAAAGAGGAACGTGCATGCAGACAAACAGACGGAGGAACGTGCAGACAGACAGACGGACAGACAGACAGACAGAGGAGCATGCACACACATAAATGTAGACAGACAGATAGACAGACAGACAGACAGACAGACAGAGGAGCATGCACACACATAAATGTAGACAGACAGATAGACAGACAGGCAGATAGACAGACAGACAGACAGACAAAAGAGCATGCACACACATAAATGTAGATAGACAGATAGACAGACAGACAGACAGACAGAGGAGCATGCACACACATAAATGTAGACAGACAGATAGACAGACAGACAGACAGACAGACAGAGGAGCATGCACACACATAAATGTAGACAGATAGATAGACAGATAGATAGACAGACAGACAGACAGACAGAGGAGCATGCACACACATAAATGTAGACAGACAGACAGAGGAGCATGCACACACATAAATGTAGACAGACAGACAGACAGACATACAGACAGACAGACAGACAGAGGAGCATGCACACACATAAATGTAGACAGACAGATAGACAGACAGACAGACAGAGGAGCATGCACACACATAAATGTAGACAGACAGATAGACAGACAGACAGAGGAGCATGCACACACATAAATGTAGACAGACAGACAGTCAGTGAGACAGTCAGTCAGTCAAAGAGACAGACAGATGCACGGACGGACGGACTAACGGAGACCAACTTACTTATATTAAATGTAACACTGCCATAAAGACCTGAAAAAAACGGCAACACACAAAAAGTCGGCTATTACTAGTCATGTCAACACCATACTTGTTAAACCGCTGATGGAATGCGCTGATGGAAAACAGGAACTGTATACCTCTGAGGGTCAACCATTACCTTGAGTACGCCCCTCCCCCTCCCCCCTACGCACAGCACAAGCACCACCATCCTTCCTGCCACCACACCCTGCCCGCCCCCCCCCCCCCCCCCCCGCCCCCTGCGTCTTCGGTCGGTGCAGAATATAGCTGAATTGAATAGCTGCCGAAATGTTGAATACTGTATTTTCTCCAATAAAAGCACACTGCCCGCATGGATAGAAACACATAACGGCGATAGTCTCCAACAAAGGCACATGCAACTACATTTCTGCCGTGGACACTGGTATTTATTTGAAATATGAAGAAAAAGATCACCCGAAAACAACCAATCAGGAGCACAGCAAAGTGGGCTTGAAATCATAAAAGCACGGTAACGGATACGCTGTCCCTGGGGGAAATCGCGGAGAAAAGGCTGAAAATTCGCGGCACAGCTTGCGGTCAAAAGTTTGCGACCGTTTTTGGTAAACTTGCAAGTAGATTGGCCAATCTACCGGTTTGCCTACCAGAAACCTGCCTACTTTTATAATTATAGAAGAGGGGTTGACAGAGTGAAAAGGAACTTTACACCATGAAATGCGTTCATTTCAGTCCTCAAATAATGTGCCTGCTACTCACATGTACACTCGGGAGAGAGAAGACCTCCACCATTTCATGCAAGGACAGTCTTTTGATGTTTTTATGCAACAAAACGTTAAAAATCGCGGGAAATTTGAGGAAATCACGGATTTATTAGAAATCGTCAAAATCGCGGAAAATTTTGCATCCGCGAAATCGCGATCTTCCCCGGGGACAGAACAAAGACACGTCTCTAATAAAAGCACGGGCCAAAGGGTGATTGATGGAGAATGCCCAGTTACATCTGGGCGTGGAAAATTGACATCGTAATTTTATTGGAATTCGTTTTACCTGCAGAAAAGGTAGGTGGGTGGTTGGGTGCTGCGTTTTGCGAGAGAAAAAAAACTATTGGTAATCCCGTATTTTCCCGCGTATGAGCCGCACTTTAAACACCACAGATTCACCCAAAAACATTGATGGTGTGGCTTACACTGCAACAGCCAACTATAAAAAACGGTGAAAACATGGTAGACTTCTGCGTATTTAGTGACAAAAAATTTGGGTGCGGCTTATGCTCCGGTGCGGCTTATACTCCAGTGCGGCGTATACTCGGGGGAACTGCAGCACACTTGCTTTTGTAATTACATGTACATGTACATGTATCCCCAGCTCCATGAGGATGGAGGTAACTTGTGAGCACAACTTATCTAGGGGCTCCCGTAAGAAGACCATAGGTCTGTGGAAACACCCTCGTAATAAAAATAAAAATAAAAATAACTTACTTGCCAGGCTGGCTTGCTTGACCACTGTAATCACAGTGAAGAAAACAGAAAGCAACGCAAATTAGAACACATCATTTTCTTCTGTGCTGAGCCTCTGGGTCTACATGTGAACTAACCAAAAACGGGAAACGCTGCCTGCACAAGCGTTTTGAGAGCATCCCGATTCGGTTATTGAAACAATTGGTGTGTGGGTATGTATATGTGTGGGGGGGGGGAGGCACATGTGTGTATGGTTACATGTGTATCAGAGACTACATGCACAGTGGAATTATTATTATTTTTTATTACATTTTGAATAGGGCATTCCCACAGGCCTAAGGCCTTCTTACGGGTTACCCTATATGCTCCTAGTACCAGGGATTTGCGATGCGGACGCCGTCAACCACCACTAACACTAGCACCACCACCACCGTCACCACCAGCACCACCATCTGACCCACATTTTTTTTTCGATTGTGAACACCATCCCCAGTTACACACACCCTCCTATGGGGTTAAACACCCTCCCCTGGGTTTAAACACCCTCCCCTGGGGTTAAACGCCCTCCGCAGGGTTACACACCCACCGTGGGGTAACACACCCTCCCTGGGGTTACACATCCACCCCTGGGGTAACACACCCTCCCGGGGGGGGGGGGGGGGGTTATAAATCCTGTTCTTGGGTCACACACTGAACTGCCCCCCCCCCTCCCCCCCAAGAGCAAGTGATGACTAAACTTGGCTTGTTGGAAGCCCTATTGTGGTGTGTGCAAGTCCACACTCGAGATCTCCAAACCTAACGAGTAACCACGCACTGGGTTCCTCTAATGTTGCTTGCCACAACTGACGTAGCGCAGTACCGATAGGCGTATACATAATACATGTACACATGCTCATGTGGAGTACAGTCGAATGTCACTTATCCGACCACTTCGGGAATCAGGCATGTCGGATAACTGGATATGTTGGATAACTGATATCCTTTTTTATGTGCATACATGGCTGGATTTCACTGATTTATGTACACAATTATATTCATGCATATTCATGAATTGCTCCATGTACACATACATGTTAGCATACTTGACCACATCTAATAATAAATAATAATACAGCACGCATATAGCTCATATGAAAAATCAAATGAGGGTCATGCATCTGTCGACAACGCCGAGCCAGTGCGTTCTGTCTGAGGCAAGTTGCTCCGCTTCCAAAAGAGACATATTGAGAAGTAAAAGGTCATTCCTAATGTTGTCTACCCATCTGGTCACTGGGCGACCTCTGGGCTTCTTTATATCTGTTATATTCATTGCCATGTGAAGGGCTTTGTACGACACAGCGTCCTTCCCTTCACGAATGACATGTCCAAACCATAATAAGCGCCGGCGTCTACAGACTGCACTTATTGGGCATTGAGCAGTTTTAGCATAAAGAGCATTATTCGAAATTTTATTGGGAAAGATGATTCCAAGTATGTATCTGAGTTTACGGCGGTGCCATACATCAATTTTGCTTTCTAAGGCTTTTGTTAGAGTCCATAGCGCGCAGTTATATAGAAGAACTGGCAAAATGAGACAGTTGAACATGTTTAAGCGCATCTACTTCAAGTAAATGCATAATAATTATTACACCGTATAATATACAAAAAAATTCTTTTTAGAATTTTACTGTTGTGAGTCATAAAATTACCACTCCCGGGCTTGTCGGATAACCGACGTGCTCGGATAACTGGCGACCGGATAAGTGACATTCGACTGTACTTATTTTGTACTTCAAGATGGTACACACTGACAGGCGGCAGGCACGCCTGCAGGTGCACAAGGACATAGTACCCAGCACGCATTGTCCGTACATGTACAGTCAACTTTGCGTATAACGACATTCGGCCGGGCATCAGAAAAGTGTCCTTACTCGCGAAGTGTCCGTATACCCGAAGTCTCATTGTATGTATACAGGTAGAATGGACTTTGCTCTGGGCATAGACATTCTGTTGTTATTCGGGAATTGTTGCTATATCCACAGTCGTTATTAGCGAAGTCGACTGTACACGGTCATGTACATGTATACGTATAAGTACATCAGGGAGCACCGTGAAGTACCGTTGATCCGCCCCCTCTCTAATTCCCGCCCCAGTCGATTTTCTACTTGTGAAGCGACTTCGGCGTATACAACGAAATACTATGTTGAACCGACGCTTGCATTACTGTATGCAATACATGTACGTGCCAAGCCAGGATGAAAGTGTGCACAATTTAGCGCATCGAGTCTTATCCTCCACGTTGTTGTACATCGTACTGCACTTGACAGCCTTGATCTAATTTCCGCCTCCTGCCGAAAACTCAGCTGGGAAGCGACATGGTGTGGGGGGGGGGGGGGGTGGATCAACGGTATTCTACGGTAGTGACATATTAACTTTAAGACTCACTGCATGTCCATGTGCATGAACATGCAGTGGCCGCAGTCGAACGGACCAGGCTCTGACCCGGTTGCGAGAGTCATGCCAGGGACACGCGTGCCCTGTTTGTTTGAAATCCTGGAGCAGACACTGTGCAGGTGTGTGTGTGTGTGTGTGTGTGTGTGTGTGTGTGTGTGTGTGTGTGTATGTGTGTGCGCGCACGCGTGTGCGTATGAGTGTGTTTCAGCTTTCTGCCCACAGACAAACAGACATACGGACAGACAGATAGACAGACAGACAGACAGACAGACAGACAGACAGACAGACAGACAGACAGACAGACAGACAGATAGACAGACAGACAGACAGATAGACAGACAGACAGACAGACAGATAGACAGACAGACAGACAGACAGACAGACAGACAGACAGACAGACAGACAGACAGACAGACAGACCGACAGGCAGACAGACAGACAGACAGACAGATGGACACACTAGTATCGCGTGGTGAATCGAACCCGTATGTGCTTACATAGAAACGCCGAAGTCTGATCTGATACACTGAACACAGAGAACTTACCTATATTATGAGGACTAGCTTTTGCAGGTTCGGCATCTGCAACATCAAAAAAGAAATCAAGAATCTATATAACCGTAGTTTGCTATTCCTTCATTGGAGAGAGTCGAAAAGGCACAATCATCAGTGATCACCATTTTTTTAATTTGAATAATTCGCCAAAAAAGTTTGGCTGGATATAGCACGATCGTGCCTTTTGAGACCAGCTGCGTCCACCCACACCAGTGCCACCAGCACCAGCACCAGCACCAGCACCACCAACTCCAACACCACCAGCACCACCAGCACCACCAGCACCAACAACACCAGCACCACCAGCACCACCACCACCACCACCACCACCACCAATCTTAATGAAGTGATACCCCCGACACAAACTGCACAAACAAGTGTGACATTCTTTGAAAGTTTACTTTTGGCTGACCGGTTTCACTACTAGGTGTAGATCATCAGAGTGAAGAGTAAAGTCGAACGAAACACTTATCTTAATGAAGTGATACCCCCGACACAAACTGCACAAACAAGTGTGACATTCTTTGAAAGTTTACTTTTGGCTGACCGGTTTCACTACTAGGTGTAGATCATCAGAGTGAAGAGTAAAGTCGAACGAAACACAATTTTATGCTCCCACTAGGTGGGTAGAAAATCTTAATGAAGTGATACCCCCGACACAAACTGCACAAACAAGTGTGACATTCTTTGAAAGTTTACTTTTGGCTAAAATCTTAATGAAGTGATACCCCCGACACAAACTGCACAAACAAGTGTGACATTCTTTGAAAGTTTACTTTTGGCTGACCGGTTTCACTACTAGGTGTAGATCATCAGAGTGAAGAGTAAAGTCGAACGAAACACACCAACTCCACCACCACCACCTCCAGCACCAGTACCACCACCACCGCTGTTGCCTCCCCCACTATCACTGCATGCCACAAACACAACGTCCTTGTCCCTCCCCTCAGCGTTCTACGAATACTGTACAAACTCTACTGTTGTAAAATGATGTGTTGTTTTCCTGTGTGATGGCATTCCCCAAACTGTCTCGTCTAGTCGCGTGGATGTGTGATATGAGCATGCGCGATTTTGTAGTCGAGAGTCCTTTTGTCAGTCTTCTTGTTCGTCTCTGTCAGAGCAGTTTGCTTTTCCGTCTTGTCAATATAAATAATGTAACAAACTAGTCTTGTCCTTTGTGTCCTGCGTCCCGGGGAACGGAATGGCTGAGATTCCGTTACACTCCTGTCTCACTTGTCTTCTGAGGTCTTTTGTCGCATAGTGATCACTGATGTTACGCTAACCATTCTCTTCCCTGCCACTGGACAGTTGACACGTGTGTCCGTGTGGTTTGCGAACTCAAATCAAGACAACAATGTGGGCCATGTCATTGCTGCAGACTGTGCAGCACCCTACATGCCATCCCTTTTCTTTTTGTCACTGCTTTGGGGCTTCTGCAGCCACGGCGAGCAGGTTTTATCAACATATCGCACGGGAATGGAAATGTGCAGAGAACTGGCGATCAAGCAGCAAAGCACTTCGCTGGGCTTAGGTTTTGACAGGACTGAAACTCTTCAACGGAATGTTGACATGAAAGCTCTATTATCTCAACCAATGTTTAGTCTGACACAGACAGAAGGATTTCAGACTAGAAAATGACAGCTAACTAAGCAACCACAAGTCCGACCCGAGTTCCACTTACTGAAATAGATAGCGCCGATGAGGACAGTCAGAAGAAGTACTACCCGGGCAGCCATACTGAGAGTTGGCAGAGAAAATACTATCCCACATGCACAGAGGCTGAAACGTGAAACGGTCCTGTCAATTTACTCGTGAATCAAAGAAGGCGTTACTCATTACTAACTTCGCCACCTGTTCGTCCTGTGAATATGACTGGAATTCAACAACATTTTTATAACACTCAACGACTCGCAACTTGCACTCGTTATGGCTGTGCTCTCCACTCCCCAGACGCCCAAAATGGTGTCTAGCTACACACAATACCGTACACGTGTGCCTTCTGCACACACCAGTGTACGGTGCAACGTCTGTAATATTCCTAAATTGGTAGTTCTTGCTGGACACTCGCTGGCGACTACGTCCCCAGATAAGTACCCAAGGCACCTGTAATGGAATATTTTCGAATGCTGCAACATCTTCGCGACTGTACGAGAAGTATTGCTTGTATCACAGCTAGCTGCACAGGCCGGATCATGTCGACATGATTATGTCATGATGTAACTGTTAACATGTTGCACACCGCACCCCGTACAAACTCATGTACGTGCATCGTGGTCTTCGAAGCGGCCAATCCGAAATTTCGCATTTGTTTTTTGGGCAAGTCGAAACAAGTGGCTTGCCGTCTGGGAACGTGTGTTGTTGCTGTCATGTCGTCAATGGGCTGGCATGGCGCCTGGTGGAGACTACACAATGTAGTACACGTATCTCGGAGAATGCCCAGGCTAAAAAAATTCATGGTTCGTGTCAGACTCGGCTAGAGGCCGAGTTTTCCTCATCCGAAGGAACGCAAGCACGACCCTTCAAGGATCAAGGCCACAATACACATACCTGGTACTAATGCAGTATATTCAGCAGAAGCCTATGGCTTTTAGCGCTGTTGGCCAAAGAGAGATGAATTCAGCCATGTAGCTCTACGGTAAAGAGCAGGCGAGATGAATTCCTTCGTGCCGGCCCGTTGTGCTTTCTGCCTCTGGTGGCTATGGCAAGCATGCCAATGCGATTTTCTCGTGGTTCGGATCGCCTCTATGGCTAGGCTGAGAAGAGCAAGGAGCCATACGCGCGGGTTGTCTCCTTGCTGCGCTGCCGCCTTGGGTTTGCCCTGGTTTGTTGTGGTGCCATGTGCCTGTGTGGCTCAAAGAGCATGTTTCCTCCTAGGATCCTGTCGTACCTCTTTGGCCTCAACGACGTCTTTGTTGTCCGGTTGGCCATTGTAGCCGTCGACTAGGGCCCGACGTAAACCTAAATAACTGGTGACCCCAGGCCCGGGCGCTGCGCTCAGTCCCCTCGGCCCCTGCGTTGCTAGTAGTGGTGGCTGCGCCGAGGCACGCATCCAGTGAACCTGCAGTGATCGTACTGAGTCTGTATCATTCCTTTTATGTACCGGTAATTGCGTTGATGCTTCATATCACAAAACTAATGTGTAAATTAAATTATTTGGCCGTACAAGAGGCTCAAGCTTCGGCTGAAAAAAAGGCGAGATGAATTTTCATGCGAATCAACTCTGATCTACAGTGTACGTCTGTATGTAATCCGGACGTACTCGTACAGTCGGGCTTGGTGACTGATCAAGCCCTCCATACATGTATATACCTCGCTTGATAATCTACATCATAATAATTATGATCTAGAAATTTGTACGTATTTATTTATTATTTATTTATTTATTTATTTCTATGCTGCATGCATGGTCATACTGTAGTACTCGCACGAACAGTTGATAATAATAATTATGGCGGTAAACACACGCCTGCTCACACACGCTCTCTAGAGCTCTAAGCTGCAAAGTTCTGACACCGAGCTTTCCTTCTCACTACCATCACCATCATTTCGCGCCTGGCGCCTAGTCGATGCATGGTTGGCGGTATCCGACATAGCTTAGACTAGGCGCCAGGCGCGAACTGTTGGTGGTCGTGGTGGTGAGAAGGGAAAGCTCTGTGCCAGAACTTTGCTGCTTGGAGAGCGTGTGTGGGCAGGCGTGTGTTTACCGCCAGGTGTGTCTTTACAACCATATTAACGATAAGTACAGCTGGAGTGGTGTCTTCAACGTCATTCTCGCACGAACAGACTACAAAAAAATGTTTCTTCTTTGATGTGAACAGATACATGTGTATGTACATGTACAGTGATACCTGTCTAACACGACTGCGCAAGGGACCTTCAAAATGTGGTCTCCTTATCCAGTGCCATTCGACTGGAAATAGCGTCCCTTGGTCCTGGCTGCAGTGGTCTTCTGGGACAGGTGGTCGCCTTATCCGAGTGGTCGCCTTGACAGGTTTTACTGCAGGGTTTGCGTCCAAGACCTTTTTCCACATGGCAGTATGTTCGAAATGATCACCTTCCTTGTTACTTAGCTGAATTGACGCCAATGATGGAGATGACCCAGTCGTTCAAGTCTACGGGTGGTGCAGGGAATCCTGTCGTACAATGGGTGGGGAAGGGTAGGTGAGAACATGGACATCATGCTGGGAAACCCTTCGCAAAGAAGGTAGGCACCGGCGGATAATGCTAGCCTAATAACTAGCATAATGACCCATGTGGGGAAGACCGGCACTGCTCTAGCATAAAGTCTCCAAATGTGACCTTGTCTGGCACAATTGATGTGTGAAATTAGCACTACGTCCAGTCTCTTGGCACCACCATGAAAAGCAGCGCTATGTTTAGAGCGGAGAGAGACACACTGCTGCTCCCTGCGACGCTGGCAGCCCTCTGTACTGATAATTATAATGAAAGTGTAAGCATTTTTCACCTTGTTCGCCCTGCTGTGATACGGCCATATTGCGAGTGACTGCATACGGAAGTCAGTATTTCCCACCGCAAGGATTGCCATTTTGCAGCACTATCAGCACTACTAGCCTTATAACTAGCATAATCGCTGCAAATAACTAGCAGTAGCAGTGCTAGTAGCACAATTTCCGTCATGTTTGTTTGTTTGTTTGTTTATTTGTTTGTTGCATGTACATGTAACTAGCATTATCCACCGGTGCCTAAAACTTAAAAGAGGGTGTTTATAATAATTATTGCAACCTTGCTAGTTTGTCGTTGTGGACCAGGTCTTCTTTCTCGACATGTCCAGTGGTCAGCAAGTCACACTTCGTGGTGCCTTCATTCTGAGTTTCTGCGTGGGCAGGGATTTCAGTGTGCCCTAGGGACCGGCGGATTCTGCTCGAAAAGGTGGCAGATTCTGCTCGAAAAGTAGTGAAGTTGGCAGAACCATACAAACCTTATGCCAAGTTATGGCGGGCCTCGAATTCTGCTCCATTTCTTTACCCACATACCAAACATGCATGAAACTTACCAGAAAAAGTACCGAATTCTGCCAATTTTTCTGCCGGCAGAATCCGCCGGACCCTAGTGTTCCCATGACATACAAGTATCAGTGTTGGTAGCTTAGCGAACAGACTATGAAGACGCTCCTTGCGTGCTTTGCCGGGCTGTCACGCGGTTGGCCCTGATTCGGCTAGTGCATTCAACTGCATCGCTGTTGGAAATCTTTTTTTTAAATTAAAGGATTATTTCCCTAGCGATTTCTAGTGAATATCTTGATTCAAGACCACAGCTAGGTAACTACAATTGTAGGTAACTCGGATCGGCGTGCTAGCATACAATGTAAAGCTGTAGTTGGTTTGGCTGCGCTGTGTTGTTGTGAGCAGCATTGGCCCCTTGTTCTTGTTTTTTCCTTGCTCTTGTACCTTTTTCATACATGTAAGCTGGAAAGAGGACCAAAGAGCTACAAATTAATCCTTGGCTCTCCACCCGAGTCTATGTACACCTTTGTTCAATGCATACTTTAAAGGGCTATTTTTTCGATTTTGGTCGCTATCCAAGCAACGAAGAGTCCCTGGACCAAACTCTCATAGCAGATGGGACGAGGTCCACCCAGGAATACATGTAGAAGGAGCCAACATTTGGCCATGTCTGGTGGTATTGACTTTGGTCGTTTACATGTAAATACGGACATTGACTGGCACTTTCAACCAAGCATACATGTATTTCCATCGCGCTAAATAAAACTGAATGCTGCCTGTGCCGTGCCGGCGAGTGCTGCTGTTGTTGTTATTATCTTTATTTGAAGGATGACCCAGAGGCAGGTAGCCTATCGAGGGGGGTTCTCAACTTGTGCGATTGTGCACGTACACCATGTACATGTACGTGTGTAACTATTGTTATCTGCTGATTGCATGAAACCTCGAGTTTCAATTTAATAGCGTTCTGTCCACTGTTTGAAGGTGCAAACAAAGAAGCCAGTCACTGGTACACACTTATGTAGTTGCTCGCACGATCGCGCTGGACCTCGCACGTTTCTTGCCGACCTGACAATATCGTGCGCTAAACGGTTCCTGGAACATTCATTGATTTCCCAATGGTCTCCTGTTGACAACGGACAGTTTTCTTCTGAAGCGTCAACAAAATCGTGCCGTGATTTATCTTGACACGCTCAGAGATTGTGCTGCCATAATCTCCCCATCCCGTTCAGATTCAGAACTTACTTATTCTATTGTTTTCCCAAACAAAACGTGCATGTGCAGTTCCCTCAGCGCAGTCGTGGCACGTTCGCGTTTTGCTACACAATCATACAGTCAGTGCGTGGCTTCCTGTTCACAACGGATGGTTCTTTTTAGGGAAAGCCCCTCATCGGCGCATGATACTAAATACAGTACAGTACAGTTGCCAGTACCAGTACAGTACAGTCATAACTACAGTTACTTCAGGGGTGGCTGGTTCATGCCGGCTTGGCTGCCGCCTTGCCCTTGGGCAGAGTGAGTGCGACCAGTCATCAGATTGACGTGTAGCGGTCCGATAGGCGATAGCCGCAGCACTTAGCCTTTTCAAGTGTTTGTCCCTTTTTAGCACATGCACGTGACGTGTAGCTAATGTAGCTGTCAGTGTAACAGACTCAGTCAGTGTCAGCCTACTTTTGCTTTTTGGACCTTTTTTTAAATGTTAGTACGTCGTTCTGCGAAGGCTATCTTGTGTGCTTCTGAACATTCAAGTGATGCTAGCGCGGATCCCGCGAATATTATTACGTTCTGCGTCCTGAATGCCCTGGACTTGATGTCCAGTCGACTAGTCATCAATCATCTCGAGCAGGGAGTAGTACTACTCCCAGATCTCAAGTGTTGCCAGATTGAGAAGTGCGTTATTCCCGTTGATTGCTAATGCGAGTGGCGGCGTTGTCAGCTGCAATGGCTGTGTACATGTACATGTACATAAAATTGTAGCTGCCCATTGACCATGTTGACGGAGTAGGAAGCAGCTCACTACACCCCTACAATCATACAACTATTACAAGTACATGACTGGTTGTGCGGTGTGCAGTCATGTACCTAGCCCACACTGGCCACAGCGGATCACATGATTCACATCCGGTATGTCCGGCAAGAAACATCAAACCGCAAGTACCAAACAATACTGCCAATTTTTTTCTGCCTGCAATATCCGCCAAAGTCTAACATACATGTACACTAGTAGGGCTAGCTAGGCTCGCTGTGTTTATCGCAATTCATACACAGTAAAACCTGTAAATAACGACCACCCCTTGGCCTTGGGGCCATAGAAAGCGGTCTTTAGTGGCAGGTGGTCCTTAGTTAGAGGTTTGAGACCGTCTGCGCCTAGCCTAGCGCCTGGCAAAGTGATCTGAAGTATCAGGCTGGTCGTTAGTCACCGTGGTCTTTAGTTTAGTTACTGGTTTTACTGTTATGTAGAGCACTCTGACTTTGCTGTCAGTTTGGCCAGTCACTTTGAGTCTGAGCTCTGTCGACGAGATCTCTGAAACCAGCAAGCTGTCTAGAGATTGATTCATTGAGCAACAACATGCACACGCCAGCTCGACCTTTTCAAGCGCTGCTAGAGTGTAGTTCAAGTACAATAATAATTAATAATAATTGTACATTCACGCAATGAACATAGGGATCCATCATCGACGTCCTTTCCACACATTTATATGTACATGCGTGCTTCTAGCCCCCCGGAAATCGTGCGCTGCCTTCTTGTGGCACGCTTGCCGCAACTCTGTTACGCACTCTTCTACAATGTACATTGTACGTGTACATGACTTGATTGTACAATGTACATTGTACATGTAGATGTAGAATCATACATGTACATGTACATGGTTTGCATAATGTCAGCGCAACAACAACATTTAAAATTGCTTTCACATGGAGTTTCCTACCCCGGCATGGTTCATAGTCCGTCTCATAATGAACACGGTTTCTCTCTGAAGAGTCAACAAAAACGGATCGTGCGCTGACTTCACCTGGCACGATCATGGATGTTTTTTGCAATGATACCCACAATACCGGACCAGTAAAGTTCCTTCGGAGTACTGAAATTATACATGTACCACACGGTACATGTACATTGTGCATCTTTCTGACAGCTGCTTCGGTCATTGAGATTTCATCAGAGAAGATCGAGTTGTATAACCACTGTGGTGGTGTACATGTACTCAATTATTTTCCAGTCCGCAAACTTTTCAATGGACTAATGTTGCCGCGTAGGTTCCTGTATATGAATCAAAGCCAACGTGCCATCTCTAGACATCTCATAGACATCTCTAGCACGTTTCGGGATCTCCTGTTCACAACCTAAAGGTTTCGCAAAGTAGACATGCACTTTTTAGGGACCGGCGGATTATGCTCGAAAAGGTGGCAGATTCGGCTCGAAAATCAGTGAAATAATAATTAATTGGCAGACCCAGGCCATAGGCCATACAAACCTAATGCCATAAGTTATGGCGGGCAATTCCTCGAATTCTGCTCCATTTCTTTATCCACATACTAAACATGCATGAAACTACTTACTTACCAGAAACAGTACCAAATTCTGCCAATTTTTCTGCCGGCAGAATCCGCCCCTAACTGTTAGCACTTTTCATCAAACATTCCTGGATTGTTCTGCCATTCTCTCCCGCGAGAACGGCGTTCTTCATGAAGCGGCAATAAAATCGTGCTCTGAAGTTTCCTAGCACGTTCTATTGTCATTTTGTCCACAATGAACCTTTCAGAACGAATGTTATCTCCATGAAGCGGCAACAAAATCGTGCACTGAACTTTCCTAGCGCGTCCAGTTCAGAATAGAATCGTGCACTGAACTTTCCTAGCACGTTCATTTGCCATTTTGCCAGGATGTACCGTTCCGAACGAATTGTGTTCTCTTCATGAAGCGGCAACAAAATCGTGTGCTGAAGTTTCTTTGCACGTTCATTCACTTCATCTTTTTACCATGACAAACCATTCAGAATAAAATCGTGCGCTGAAATTTCCTGGCACGTTCATTTGTCATTTTGCCATGATGAACCGTTCAGAACGAATGTTTTCTTCATCAAGCAACAACGAAGTCGTGCGCTGAACTTTCCTAGCACGTTCATTTGCCATTTTGCCATGATGAACCGTTCAGAACGAATTATGTTCTCTTCATGAAGCGGCAACAAAATCGTGTGCTGAAGTTTCTTTGCATGTTCATTCATTTCGTCTTTTTGCCATGACAAACCATTCAGAATAAAATCGTGCGCTGAAATTTCCTGGCACGTTCATTTGCCATTTTGCCATGATGAACCGTTCAGAGCGAATGTTTTCTTGATCAAGCAGCAACAAAGTCGTGCTCTGAAGTTTCCTCGCACGTTTAGATGTCATTTTGCCAGGATGAACCGTACAGAACGAATGTTTTCTTCATGAAGCGGCAACAAAATCGTGCACTGAAATGTCCTAGCACGTTCATTTTGACTTGTCATTTCGCAATGACCTTGATGACGTTTTGACTCCCTGGCCCTGCCCTGCACTAGCACTACAGCCAGGCCTGGTCAGGCTGGTGCATACCGCGTCGCCTGCCTTGGCAACGCCAAACCTCTAGTTACCCCATGGCGACGGTGAGCGGGATTTGTGATCGTGAGTTGTGCAGGCATGAGTGACGCGTCGACGGTTCAGATGATCACTCATTCTCGCACTCGACTCGAGTCATACTATCGTCGCGTCGTGGAGTAGATTCTACGATGTCATTACATGATGTAGCACAGCTTCGATCATGCATCGGCATTCGGCAGCGCTGCTGTATCGATTCTTCTTGTTCATTATTCAATTTTTTGTTGTTCCGATTTTCATTGGATGACATTCATCCTCGCGTGTCCTGCCTACGTACGTGTTCTGGTAGCCTCACAGTCAGATAATGAAGAAATTTGTGTGTCGTCTTCGGAGCTGAGCGCTGCTGACCTAGACATCCAGCTCTAATAATTATTATGAGTGAGCCAGAGTCAGCGGCTGAGGACATCGCTGCCAACGACGCTGCTGAGGTTGGCAATGCCGGAGAGACGGCAGCAGAAGGTGAGATTGCGGCGGCGACAGGCGATGCCAGCTCCGAGGCAAACGCCGAGCCAGGGACACGAACACCTCAGCCCGAGGATGCCGCTGGTGTCGAGGCAACGTCCGCTGAGAACCCAGAGTCGGATCAGGGCCAGGGCGCGGATGGCGGCGAGAAAGCAGCCGCCAATGAGTCGCAAACGCATGGAGCTTCGGCTACGGATGCGGGCGACGATGTTGGAGATGCGCAGGCTGCGCCGGGAGCTACGGAGGATTACGACGCAGGCCCCAGCGCCATCGACGTAGTACTAGATAACGCAACAGAACAGCAGGTAGGATGCTGTCCGTGAATATAAAATACATGTACAATGTATTCGTTTCAAAAAAGAAATATTTGGAAATAAATGTAATCATTTGAAAATATAGAATAGTGATGTGCTGCAGACGAAAACTAATGTTGAGGCAATGACCAGCTTGCCGTACGTCCGCACATATAAGCGCATGTGCTTATGTCCGGACGTAAGCGCACCCCTCAATTATAAGCACATGTGCTTATATGTGAACACTATTGCTGAAACACCCGTGAGCTGAATATACCACTAAGCATAGTGATAAAACCATTGATTAGGATACAGACAAACCTTCATTGCACTTATAAACGCTTTTTCTTCTACCCGGACATGTTTACAGTTTTACACAGCAAAAAAAATCTGTGTCGCAGCAAATTTTCGCTTATAAGCGAATGCACCTATAGTAGGGTATGAGTTCTGTCAGTCTCGTGAATACCATTCTCCAGTATAGGCTACGACTCACGAATAACAACACAGACGCTTCAAATCTCTATTGAGTCTCGACTGTTTGGCAGCATGCTCTCAACCTCATGAACAGCCAGACCTCACGGATAACGACACGGTCAAAGGTCGTGAGCAGGTGTGTGCCATCGTCGTATGATCCACATGTCTGATGTGTAAAGTAGGCGCGGATGCCGAGACCATTGATCAGCGGAGCCTACAGCACCCCATCGCCACCGCTGCCTTGCATTGCAGCCCCATTCAGGCAATGTCTTGTTAGCCTGTTGTTTTTGTCACTCCCTCCTTCTTTCATTTTTTTACGAGCTGGATGCATGGTTTTCATGTAAAACAAAGAAACAAAAAAAGCAATGGCAGCTCTGCCCCTCAACGGCCACTGCAATGCATGTACACTCAAACTCGCGAATAATGATCCTCGATTATGCAGGAGAAAAGTGTCGTTGTTTGTGAGTTGTCGAAGTTTGCAGTCAAAGGGTCGCTTGGCCTGACGATTGTGTTGTTATTCGTGAGGTCGAAGTCTGCAGTTGAATAGTCGCTCAGCCTGACGATTGTGTCGTTATTCGCGAGGCGTTGTAATAGCCGAGGTCTTTACTCTCGAGGTTCGCTATGGTACAAGTATGTTGTATTGCCGAAGAACGGCTAGCCTGGAATTTCTCAGAATGATATGGACATGGCTGGCCAGGCTGGAGTAATGTGTTGAATCACGACCATGAGTAGTAACAGTGTGTTGTAGGCTAAGTGGTTATGGGCTTGCTTGCAAATCACAAGGTCCCTAGTTCGACACCCAAGTGGGTATGTGCATGTACTGTGTCAACAAATGAGGCGATGCATGTATGAGCCACCTTGCATGCACGAACCACCTTGCATGCATGAACCACCTTGCATGCACGAGCCACCTTGCATGCATGAGCCACCTTGCATGCATGAGCCACCTTGCATGCATGAGCCACCTTGCATGCATGAGCCACCTTGCATGCATGAACCACCTTGCATGCATGAGCCACCTTGCATGCATGAACCACCTTGCATGCATGAGCCACCTTGCATGCACGAACCACCTTGCATGCATGAACCACCTTGCATGCATGAACCACCTTGCATGCATGAGCCACCTTGCATGCATGAGCCACCTTGCATGCATGAACCACCTTGCATGCATGAGCCACCTTGCATGCACGAACCACCTTGCATGCATGAACCACCTTGCATGCATGAACCACCTTGCATGCATGAACCACCTTGCATGCATGAACCACCTTGCATGCATGAGCCACCTTGCATGCATGAGCCACCTTGCATGCATGAACCACCTTGCATGCATGAACCACCTTGCATGCATGAACCACCTTGCATGCATGAGCCACCTTGCATGCACGAACCACCTTGCATGCATGAACCACCTTGCATGCATGAACCACCTTGCATGCATGAACCACCTTGCATGCATGAACCACCTTGCATGCATGAGCCACCTTGCATGCATGAGCCACCTTGCATGCATGAGCCACCTTGCATGCATGAACCACCTTGCATGCATGAACCACCTTGCATGCATGAACCACCTTGCATGCATGAGCCACCTTGCATGCGACGAACTAGGTACTAGTACTCACTGCTCAGAGTGCAGTGCATGTCATTACCCGTGCATTGATGACACCACTTAGCATTTGCTCGCCAACATTATTACTCGGATATCACATAGCATGGCAATATTGCAGGGAGAGTCGGTAACCTCGCTCTTGTGATCTCTGCCGCACGCTCTGCAGGACTCAGCTGCCTCTCCGCCTGACGGTGATGCACCGGAGGATGCCCAGCAGCATGAAGGTGCTGAAGAAGCAACGACTGGATCACCACAAGCAGCTCAACAAGCAGCGGAGAGTGTCGACTCAGATGCTGCCACTGTAGCCGCTGCTGAAGATCAAGTTGAGCGTACCGAGTCAGAAGATGGTGCTACAGAGTCTGCCGCTGACGAGAAAAGCCCTGGTGAAGATGGTGAGAGTGGTGATGAAGGAGAAGCAAATGGCAAGGAAGAAGAACCCATAGGTTAGTTGCACTGTTGTCAATTTCTAATATCCTTAAGTTTATGGTAAAGAATTTAACTTGTAGAACGTAAGTACCGTCGGTCAGTGTCGTGCAATGTTATCGCATGAGCTGATTGTGTAGTAACTGGCGGTGTTGGTGGACATTATAGCGTAACTTGTAGTGTCTTGGTCCTTTTTTCTTTCCTATAAATTTATCCTTGGCTCTCCATCCCAGTCTATCCTTAAGTTCCCAAGATAATCGAGTCGTTGCGTTGTGCATTACAAAGCAAAAGGAGACGATTGCAGTCTCACTGTGCTATTTTGGCGTAATGGGCTTTAGTGGCAACTGCATAATAATATCCATAGACTTAGCCTTGGATAGGTCGGCAGTTGGGAGATAAAAAAAAGGCTGGCTATATCGCATGCGATTTAGAACTGGACATGTAATTGCACAGTCATATCCAGCCTGTTGGACGTTTGGTATTGTATACGGTAGTCTGCGATTGAATCATTCTTCTGGTCCTCTTGTCGCTGTCCCAGAGGGACATCGTGAATCAGGTTCTTAAAATGAGCGAACAGGGGCATAGCTCACACATCGTTGTGTGGCGATCATGTCGCACTGACAATGGCGATGACGCCTGTTGGGAATTCCCTAGTAAAAGAAATAAAAATTAAATTAAATTAAAAAATTAAAACCTCACAGCCGCCATTTTGACTGTGTAGTACGTACGTTGTATGAGGGCTGTGTTTGCTGCTGTGATGACCAGACAACACTGACTATACACTAGCTACACGCATGGCAAGACCACGTTTTAACCATGATCTCTCGGTATGTGTGTCTGCCTTTTTTTTTATTTGACTCTCCGTCTGTGCCTGTATCGGTGTGCTGCCTGCATTGATGTGGCAGCGGACACTGACGCCGCAGTTCCGCCAGCACAGCAGACAGGCGCCACGGAGGAGGTCAAAACCATCAACAGAGACGAGATTAGCCAGAAAATCATGGTAAGATTTCCACTACAGTACTGTTGGGCGCCGAAGTACGGAGCGGAGCGCCCACAAACAAACAGGCTGGGGGTTTCACCCCGCACAGCATAGCAATGTATACACGGTGACTCAACTGTGCATAGACTGCAGTACAGTGAAACTTGCCTAAGACAGAATTTTTTTTTCAAAATACAACCCAAATATGGCACTGGACAGCAATTTAACAGATTTCTTCGTGCTGGAGTGTAGCAAAGATATAAGCAGCTCCATTCACCCACAGAAAAGTACGGGCGGTTGGAACTGATTTGTAACTTTTCAACCGGTCGCCAACAATTTCAACCAGTCGAAAACCGGTTGGGGCGGTTCTAGAAAATTCCCTGTCTATGTAACCGGGTTGTCTCCTTCTCCAGTGCCATTTGACTTGAAATAGCATCCCATGGTCCTGGTGGACGCGGTACTCTTGCGGTTCATGCGTGCCCTAACACGCGCTCAGGCTTTCGCAAAAAACAGCAATTCGAGTCGTCTTTAGTGCGTGTGACGCCTTCGAGTACTATTTTTTTACCCTGCCAGTGAAAGTGACTGGCATTCACGCCGGTACGCGCCTGGTACGCTCTGAAAAATGCATGTTGGAATTTCAATTTCGGCGCGTTTCCATACGCATGACACCCCAAAAGCCAAGGAAAATATGCACAAACGCGTGGTTTCACGCGTACACGCGCCAGTTGTGAACACAGCTTTACTTTCCGGCAAATACTGTAGTTTTCGTACCTGACCAACTCACAACTGTCATTCGAAAGTCACAGTAAAATTGAGCCGTGTGTGGTACTAATGAGACTGCAAATCAAGCTGAAATGTTTTATGAATACTTTCTTTCTCTCGTTTAGCTTCCGCTGAAGTCCCTGCACCACATCAGTTATTTCAAGTTACCGTATTTCCCCGATTATAAGTCGCACTCAATTATAAATTGCACTCAATTATAAGTCGCATCCCCGTTTTCAGGTTTGAGCAATATCGTTTTGATATATTGACTTCAGTAGTAAGTCATGCTCGATCGTAAGTTGCACCCCCTTTTTCACCCTTGAGTTTTAGTGTACAAAGGTGGGACTTATATTCGGGGGAAATACGGTATTCTTTCTCGTCTGAAAGTCATGATTTGCATGTGCTCTGTGTTGTTGTGTATGTGGTGCAGCATATGACGCAAGAAGCAGACATGGCGGCCACCCTGTGTCTGAAGGAACAGCAGAAGATTGCAGAATACCTGCGCACAAAGAAACGCGTAAGGGGCAGCGCAAGAGTGTGCACTCAAAACCTCCAGCGTTGTGTATTGGTTTTTTCATTGTCTATCTGTCTATCCGTTTGTGTATCTGTTGGTTTCCGTCTGTTCCTCTGTCTCTCCCCCTAGCTAGATCCATGTTTGCTTTTTATACTCAACAAATGCACATGCACCCGCACGCATACGGACACACACAAACTGACATAATTCCATACACATGCACGCACACACACACACACGTACACACACACACACACACACACACACACACACACACACGTACACACACGTACACATACGTACACCCCCACACACCAATACATCCTGTGCTGTATCCTGGGCTCTCCACATGTTGACTTCAGCTGCGGAATGACAGCATGATTATACATTAACACAGAGGTACTCTGTTTTCACCCATGCAGGGCGACGATGGAAAGCAACTAAAACATCAACAGCAGCTTTCTCAGACTGAGGAAACGACACGGTTCATTAAATACCTTGGTAAGTCGTACCTCTAAAAACATTCTCGCTTTGCATTTGACTCGGCTGTAGGCCTATCTTTTCCGGAGGCCGAGTTTTCCACAACTGTAGGAACGCCACCGCCCTCTATGGAGGGGCAGATGCAGCCCCTAAAGCCATACTTCTAGGATCACTACATTTTCATCGAGGATATTGGGTGTGAGCTTGTGTTAAAGGGGAAGTTAAGCCTAAAATCGAAAATTCACCAGTTGTAGTCTTCGGGGTGCTGAGTCGAATGGAATTGCTGTCTCTTTTGCTGTGGCTTTGTGCAGAGATGCTGGAAGACATAAAATCTGCGCAGCTGCATCAGAAGCGACTGTATGAGGCACAGCTGCTTGGTCTTCAGAGCGAAGTTCATGACTTGCGAACGCAGCTAAGTGATGAGATGAGCGCCCTGAAGGAGAAGCGGAGATACGTTGCCCTGCATAGCTTCAGCTCCGCCACCGGCAAACCGCTCAAGCTGGACGTGAGTCTTTCCCACACCGGGGGGGGGGGGGGGGGGCACATGCCCGGGGATGGGGGTGCACATGTCGGAGGGGTGCATATGCCCGGGGTTGGGGGAGGGCAGATGCCCCGGAGGGGGGGGGGGGTGCACATGCCCCCGTGCTGCTCACATGTTACAGTACAGGCGGGCGCTGAAGAACATTGACTCCACCATCCATAGTCTGTAATACATGAAAATAGCAACAGTCTAGGCTAGGAGGCTGACCCCCCCCCCCCCCCCCAGTTCTTCAGCGACCAACAATAGTGTATTCACACAGGCCATGCTGGTGTAAGACAGCATTTTATTAATATACCCGTACCTTTGCACATGTGTGGCAACGTGTTCTATATAGCCCAACCTGCGATTTCACGAGTATTGTTTTCACGTGTGCGTGCGTAACCTATGCTTGGCAAATGGCACACCCATTTTCACGGTGTGTGTGTGTGTGTGCGACCGATTGTGATATCCTTGTGAGAACTCAGTGAATAGAAGTGGATTCAACTTGGGCATCGCAATTTTTTTACAACACTACTTTTTGTACTACACGCACTGCATCATCCTTATGTTATTATCGATGTGGTGTGATGAAGTTCACACTTTCCCTCTTGCCGTGCACGTCAATGGAGTTTGGTTCTCCTTTCTCCTCTCTGTGCACAGGATTTGGAGGCCTATGAAGTTGACGAGTGGATGAAGGAGGATGAAGTGCGCAGAGTAAGTTTAGTTCTGCGAAATCACATGGACTCCAACCTGTAATCCCTGGGCAAACTTTTTAATGTAATACACTCCTACCTCGGTTATGTAGACACCGAAATCACGGGCACTGCGGCCTACCGGGTACCCGTGGGGAGAATTTCAGTGAGGGCATCCGTTGGGCAAAATTCAGTGAAAACAATACTACTCCTTTGTCACATTTTTGTGGAAATAGTGACGTCATATCTTACGGTGGTTGCGGTACCCGTACTTCTGGAAAAGGGAGGTTCATCTCAACTTGTAGGTGTGTGTGTGGGGGGGGGGGGGGCAGGAAACCGGTGTACCGTCCTACCCAGAGAAGGCCAACCTCATTAAGACAATAGCGCCGCATTCGACTGCACGGAACGGTGTATGTAGTGCTAGGGCAGCGTATTCCGTTTCTGAGGTTGGATTTCGCTGGCCAGTACCCTAGATGATCCAACGTTCCGACTGGGCAGTATACTCTGTTAACAGTACTGTTAGGCGACCAAGTCTATCAAGGTGTGACGGGTGTGACGGGTGTGACAGATTTGTAAGTACAGGTGAACATCGATTATCCGAACATCGACCACCTCGGATCACTCGATTATCCGGAATGGGTTTTCGAACCGCACGTGGCTCCGGTTGCACGTTTTCGTACGGGAGCTTGCACAAAACGTTAGTTGCTGCAGCGCTCACTCATTGCCTGTACCACTGTGTACAGCCTGTACAGGCAAAAGCTTACAAAAACTTACAAAAAAACTTACAAAAACTTACGAAAACTTACGAAAACTTACGAAAAACTTGCAAAAACTTACAAAAACTTGGACATGAAAATGACTGTTGTTGCGGGCACTGTATAACACGTTCTTCCTGGTGTAACATTAATTTCGGTCATTTCGGTAGAGAAAACCTGGCACCTAAATTTAGATTACACCTAAATGGCACTGGAGTATACACTGCAGGTGCAGGGAACGCTGGTCACCTAATTTTTAATTACACCTGACACCTGGCAGGTCCCTGATATTATGTACCGAAATGTTACTACGCCCGAAATTACATGTTCCACAGTGCTCTGTTAAGGAGTTGACTCCTGATATAACGAACACCATAGTGCAGGGGAATTAGTTCTTTATAGCCAAAGTTGGTTATAACAGAAATGCACTCACGCTATGGAAGCAGCAAGTCATGACTGGCAAGTGACCCATGACAGTATGAATGCACTTGGTTTACATGCAGGCCTACACAATTTGGTTCATTATAAACGAAACCTGTTCGCTATACAGGGTCAATTTTGTATGGGTTCAAACAGGGACATTGACAATGGTTCGCTATATCACGAAATTCGCTATATGCGAGTTTGTTATAAGTGGAGTCGACTGTATACCGAACACAGGTATCGGCCTGTGGCGAGATTTTCCTTATCCGGGACATTTTCATTACCCGAACACCTTCCCAGGGCCCGCTGCCCAGAGGTGGTCGGATAATCGGTGTTCAACTGTACTGCATGCAATGTGTTCTCAGTATCACCAAGCAACCACGCACGAGAGTACAATGTGCATTTCCCTCCTTGACCTACACCTTTTTCAGCGCAGAATGTGCGTGTGAGTGTGGTGTGTTTGTGTGTGCACACGCGCATTTTTTTAGAGGGGCAGGGATGGTGAGAATGATTACGCTGTTGTGCTGTACCAGAGATATTACCATGTCCACACCTAGTGCTAGAACCGGTGTGAGTCTAGTTCCAAGACAATCAGATCCAGCGCCAGTCCTATGTACCGTATTTCCCCGATTATAAGTCGCACCCCCATTTTCAGGTTTGAGCAATATCGTTTTGATATATTGAGTTCAGTAGTAAGTCATGCTCGATTGTAAGTCGCACCCCTTTTTTGACCCTGATTTTTTTGTGTAAAAAGGTGCGACTTATATCCGAGGAAATACGGCAGTCCAGTTCAAGTCAATCACAGCCAGTCTTATGTAGTGACGATCTGCCACTTGAAACACCCCAAATAGCCATGCACTGGCAAACTAGCAGCTTTTCCAGAAGACATTTCTGCTGATGAAGAATTAAAGAGCATGTTCTGGTTTACTGTCATGTCAGCGCGCAGCGAATGGCTAGAGCGTGCGCGTGCACGTGCGTGTGCGTATGTGTGTGCGCTTGTGTCTGTGTGCATGTTTGCATGCATATACCTGTGTGTATGTATGTGTATGTGTGTACATATGTGTCCGTTTTGGTAATTGTGTGCTTATATATTCCACATTCATGTGTTCTCCCTGGCTTAGATTCGGTTAGAGACCATCCGTCAGCGTATCAAGTTGGCCAAGCGTGAGGCTGTACTCCAACAACATGTACGTATCAGCGGCTCGGACTGAGCTGTGTTTCCTGTCACTGTTACTGCTGCTGCTGCCAAAGCTACTTGTAGAAGCAAAAAGAAATAGACTGAGTAATCAGTAGTGATAAAAAAATCACCAACACAAAGGAAAGAGCAAACAGAAGACAACGTCATTGAACCGTCTTAACAACCAGGGTAGCTTCTGCTACTGCTACTGCTGCTGCTGCTACTGCTGCTGCTGCTGCTGCTGCTGCTGCTGCTGCTGCTACTGCTACTGCTGCTGCTGCTGCTGCTGCTGCTACTGATTTTGCTGCTCCTACGCTTCATACAACTGATGAAGTGCACATTTTCAATGAGCGTGCTGCAAACTCCATAACTTTACCACATGTCTGAAGGCATGAAGTTGAATTCCCTCTCTGCGGTGTGTGTCTGTTCCTCTGCCGGACAGGAGGTTTTACCGGATGGAACTTGTCTCAACATCATCGACTTTGAGCAGCTGAAGGTGGAGAATGCATCACTGTTTGAGACCACGGAGAGCAGATCGGCAGTAAGTTTGACTCATTACGATCCCCCTAGGGTATGTTCGATCGATAGAATCCGGATCTAGATGAACTGGATCCACTGGATTCGCACACTTTCGATTGGTCGAATGCGGATTCGGATCTGACGGACTTTGACCCGGCCAAACCACCTTGGGGAGCAGGGTTCTACGGATCCAATTGATTCTTTTTTTGCCAATCAACCTTTTTGGCACGAAAACTCCACATTTGTTCGATTGGAACAGGGACCACCGAAGTTACAATCAGTTCAGTGTACTGGGTACCCTTTGGGTGAGTTTGAGTGGACATATTACTACTCTTTAGTAGGGGTGAAAGTTGGCACTGAGATCCCGAGTTCGAGTACTCTGATTTTCTCCGATCGAATATTCGAGTATTCGAGTATTCTTGATATCCTAAAAATCGCACACCAACCGCCTCAAAAGTCTCATGATACAACCCTGACTGAACCGATTGGCAGTTCTTTTCTCGGGTGTATTGGTCGGTGGGTCATTTGGGCTCTCTCTACTCGTGTACAAATGTTCACCACACAGTCTGCACATCAATATCTGCTGACTGCTGCTCTGAAACTGCAGACTTCTGTGGTAAATGTATGTACCGTGTATGAGCGAGCACTCTGATTTATTCCGAGTGATTATATTCGAGAAAAAAAAATCCAAACGAGTATTCGAATATTCGGTATAATTGTTTCACCCCTACTCTTTAGTCACTTTTTGTGGAAATTATGACGCCATTACTGTAGAACGGGTAATTTTAGCGACGTAAAAACCCTAGCGAATTTAGCGATCTACTCATTTTCGCTAAAGTTTCAACTCGCTAATCCGTTGAGAAGTTAGTAGTGCACTGGTGATCCGTGAGTAAAATCGCTGAAAATCGCTAAAATAAAACGTCGCTATTACCGGTTGACAATGGGAAAACGCTAAAATAAATAGTCGCTAAAATTACCCGTTCTACAGTATGCCATATCCACGGCCTTTCGCCATCAGAATGTGTGCGATTTGGAGTTACGAACATTTCAAGGTTGCGGGCAGTGCCAGGTCTCGGATTGCCTGGAAAAACGAGGTATACTTTGTGTCCTAACTTTTGTGTCTTCTGTCAGGATGTGAAGAGACTAGAGGGCAAGATATCCTGAATGTCAACACGATGAGTCATATCCGCGAGAAGGAATCCAGTGTACAGGTCAGTGGGGAAAAGGGGAGAGTTATATAGATAGATGGATAGACGGATAGATAGATAGATAGATAGATGGATAGATAGATAGATAGATAGATAGAGAGAGAGAGAGAGAGAGAGAGAGAGAGAGAGAGAGAGAGAGAGAAGAGAGAGAGAGAGAGAGAGAGAGAGAGAGAGAGAGAGAGAAGAGGAGAGAGAGCGAGAGAGAGCGAGAGAGAGAGAGAGAGAGAGAGAGAGAGAGAAGCGAAGA